GAGATGGAGACCATTGTTCCGGTCGGATGAGCTATACAGTGAAATCAATCACGTTCTCGAGAGATTCGGCAGTCCCTTCTTGGCTCTGTTCGAGGTACATATACTCCGGAATGCCCTACCGTCTATTCAAGACTATAAAATTGCGGTGTTCATGTGCTGATTGGTTTTAGGGCTTGGATGCTTTCCTCCAACAAAACACTGCCAACAAAGAAAATCTCATCCAGGGATTTACCCAGCTCAACTTGATGGTCAAGTTGATGTATGACCTCTCTTGCCACGATCTTCCACCAATGTTCGAAGAAAATATTTCAGGGATAGCTTCACTTCTACTTAAGTACCTCACATACGATAACCAACTGCTGCACACCGATGATGACACCGAAGCCGGGCCATTGGAGTTCGCCCGCGCCGGGATCTTCCAAGTCTTGACTCTTTATGTCCAGAAGTACATGGATGAGTTCAAGCCTCATGTCGGCCAATTTGTCGAAAGCTCCTGGAACTTCCTGACCACCGTTGGGCAGGAGACCAAGTACGACATTCTGGTTAGCCGAGCTCTGCAGTTCTTGACTTCCATTGCTGGCATGTCTGAGCACGCAGTTGTCTTCCAAGCGGAAGGCACACTTGGCCAGATCATCGAGAAGGTCATTTTGCCCAACGTTAGCTTGCGCGAATCCGACGAGGAGCTTTTCGAGGATGAGCCCATCGAGTTCATCCGTCGTGACCTTGAGGGTTCCGACAGCGATACCAGACGCCGTGCCGCCACCGACTTCTTGCGTCGGTTGTCGGAGAGATTCGAAGAATCCGTTACTACTGTTGTCCTCAAGTATACGGAGCACTACCTTGCGGAGTATGCCAAGGATCCTGCTTCGAACTGGAAGGCCAAGGATACCGCCACTTATCTCTACTCCGCAATCGCAGCCAAGGGACTTGCCACTGCCAGCCACGGTGTAACAGCCACGAACTCGCTCATTAGCATCACCGACTACTTCCAGAAGCACCTTGCTGCCGATCTTGTGAACAGTGAGGGAGTCCACCCAATTCTCAAGGTGGATGCCATCAAGTATTTGTACCTCTTCCGGAGCATCATAACCAAGGAACAGTGGCAAGAGGTGCTTCCTATGCTTGTCAACCAGCTTGGCTCTTCGAACTTCGTTGTGTACAGCTACGCCGCTATTGCTGTCGAGCGAGTTCTTTACCTTGCCGATGCCCAGGGCCAGCCAATCATCGCTCCTGGCACTATCACTCCCTTGGCCAAGGATCTACTAGAACACATTTTCTCCCTGATTGAAAAGGACCCCGCTCCCGAGAAGGTTCAGGAGAATGAGTTCCTGATGAGATGTGCCATGAGAGTCCTTATCGTCATCAAGGAGGGTGTTGTTCCCCACACCGACAGTGTCCTTCAACACCTGATCAACATCACGACTGTGATCAGCCGCAACCCCAGTAACCCTAGGTTCTATTACTTCCACTTCGAAGCTTTGGGTGCCTTTATCCGGTATGTGTGCGATTTGGCCGTCCGCGCTCCAAGCACTGACCTTTCCCTAGTTTTGCCGCCCCTAGCAATCCGGAGAAACTCGAGCAAGCTCTTTACACGCCTTTTGCTGAAATTCTACAAGGTGACGTTCAAGGTAATATAGTCTGCAAGCATAAATTCTCACGGACTGTTGCTGATATATGTATAGAGTTCATGCCTTATATCTTCCAGCTTTTTGCCGCTCTCCTCGAGGCCAATCCTTCCGGAACCTTGCCGAGCTATTACCAGAACCTGATTGGACCTATTCTCATGCCTGTCATGTGGGAGTCGAAGGGTAATATTCCGGCGCTGGTGCGGCTGTTGTCCAGCATTATTCCTCGTGGTGCTGAGTACATCATCCAAAATGACCAAGTTGCACCTATCCTTGGTATCTTCCAGAAGTTGCTCTCCACCAAGACCAACGAGGGTTATGGATTCGACTTGTTGGAGGCGGTCGTTACAGGATTCCCTCCGTAGGTTGACCACTCAAGCAAAAACTCACAATAGAACATGTTGCTGACAGCTTCGCAGTGCGACGCTTGAGCAGTATTTCGTCTCCATCATGCAGGTCATTCTCACTCGTCTCCAGAATTCGAAGACTGAGAACCTTACTATTCGATTCGTTCGTTTCTTCCACTTTGTCTCTGCACAGGACGAGAAGGGCTACAGCGCCGACTTCTTCATCCAAGTGGTCGACAAGGTACAACCGGAGTAAGAATTTTTCCGTCCTAGTAACCGCTAGCTCGCATGCTAATCTATGTTCAAAGCCTGTTCACGCCTATCTACTTGAACATCATTCTTCCAGAGACGCAGAAGCTCGCCCGTCCCTTGGACCGCAAGACTGCCGTGCTGTCATTTACCAAGACTCTGGCTAACTCGGAGGCATTTGCTAGCCGCTATAAGAAGGGATGGGCTTTTACTTGCGAGGCTCTTCTCAAACTTTTGGAGCTTCCTCCTCTTCCTGCGAGCAAGGATGACATTATTGCTGAGCATGACGTCGAGGACATGGCGTTTGGTGTCGGTTTCACCGCGCTGAACAGCATCCGGCCCGTGCCTCGTGATCCTTGGCCCGAGACCGGTGCTGATCTTAAGGTCTGGACGGGCAAGTACCTGAAGGAAGCGGACGCTAAATCAAGTGGCCGGATATCTGGCTTCGTTCAAGAGCGTCTAGGTGAGGATGCCAAGCGCGTGCTCACCAGTTACATCGCATAAGCAACTTCGACTTAGGTTGTCATCCTAAGTCTGGGTACTTTGCTGGCGTCCCTCAAATTTTTGCATATTCCCCTTAAAATAAACCATGGAGAGGAAATAGTATGTGGGAGCAAGCAGCTCTCCGTATGTCCTGATGAACTATAAATGAACATTTTCAATCTGCTATAATGGTTATATTTGATTCAATCTGTATGTAACAACGGCACGTACGGCGCGTATTCATCTCGATAAACACGCCGTTTCAAAGCGCGTTATCTAGAATTTATGGAGAAAACGAGAAAGCTGCAGTACCTGCTGTAACTCTCGAGGAAATGATGGTTAATAGGCTTGTCTATCTCTTCTGCTCAAGCTCCTGTGCTTCTGAGAGCTCGTTGGCTTTGTCTTCTTCATGGCGATGGGAGTCAGTATTGCTCGCGTTGTTGTCTTCCTCATCGTGAGGTTTCTCCACCCCCTCGACCTCTTCTGTTACTCCTTCCTGGCCCTTCTCCAGCTCCCGATATTTGCGCCGAGCCTTCTTCACCTTACTTGCCTTCTTCTTTCGCGCGCGGTCAGCCTTGATGGCGGCACGACTCTTGTCCCCATTCAGAAGCTCCTCGACCTTATCCGCTAGGATGTGACGAGCATATTTCTCGTTTTGCGACCTCGACCGGGTAGCTTGCGACTTGACGACTATGCCAGTGGGCTTGTGAATAATCTGGACGGCGGAATTGGTTTTGTTCTGGGCCGGTAATGCCGGACGAGTTAGCGCGTGATGCTCTGTACGGGAGGGGGGGGGGAAGGTTTCCAAAGCGCTCCCTGAGAGTGACGTACAATTTTTTGACCACCGGGACCGGTGCCCTTCAGGTAAGATATCGTCAAGTCGGCATCTTGGAACTTTAGGCGAGGAGGGAGTGGCTTGTCGGCCAGAGAGAGGGCGGAGAGAGAGAATGACCGCCGCAAGAGATTGGGAGTCGAGATGAGTGTGAAGGGGCTAGTATGACGAGCTATATGTGAGGGACGAAACATGGTGATTGAAGGAGCTGTGGCAGTAATAATGGCCGGAGTAGCTACGGAGCGGAGCACTGAGTAAGCCTACAATATACTCGGAATGCTCATGATTGTTCTTCTTGCTTGTAATGTATTGATGGTATGGCCCTTACCATACCGACTCAGCACACATGAGTGCCAGTTACAGTAAGTTTCTTCCACAACTTTGACAACCTTCATTACGCATTGATATATCAAACACTCATTCAACGATTCCTCATAGTCGAACAGTGACCTGCATCTGGGACCCTCACGGTCGTGTGTCCTGGACTCCCGATGAGGTTTGAATTACACTCTAGATTGTTTCTGTCCAGCCATAGAAAATCCTCTGCTAACTTAGTGGAAAGGCTGACGTACGCTTTTCTGTGGACTCATGGAGTGACACGCCAATCATTCATCGAGCACAGCCACTGGAACCAAGCTCGCTGTCACGGTACGAGTACGAGAAAGCGAAACTGCGCATAAAATGGATGCACTCGAGTACCCTGGCTGCTGGACCCTTCTTACTAGTGGAACCTGAGTCTTTTATGCTGCGGTCTCCGTAACGTTAGTGGTAGACACTTTATCTGCTTAGTGTCCTGCGGCCAATTTGAAACAGTGTCCAGATCCAGCATGGACTTGACGGGGGGTTCGATTTAGTCTTCCATTCGCTCCCTAAGTTACTGCTTTTTTTTCCCCTTGAGGCTACTCAATCTTAACGTATTTCCCAACCATTCTACAGCTGCTGTTCTTCTTCTTTCCACTCCCTCAACCCACCCTCCCCCCCCACTTTCAGGAGACACGACGGGAAGAAGTTAACTTACCTGCCACTTCTACTTCTACAGTTGTACTCCTACTGGCCCTTTATCCGCTCAACTGGCTGCGCATAAGTCTTTTGTGAACCTTTTCTTGTCCCACGGAGATTCCTTCAACCCGCACTCCGTTGTCTCACCCGCTTACCTATCGGCCATTTACTTGTCTGCCTAGACTATAACTTCCTGAGCTCGTCGCTTCGCTTCAGCTGTCAGTTTCTCTGTCTGTCAGATCATGGATGCTTGGTAGATCTTGGCACCACTTGCTCTCATCCCTTCTTCAACCACCACTCAACAAAGTGCATCTCTCCTAAGAGCACCCGCGATAGATCCCCTGAAGCCGACTCTCCCCACATCACCATCGCCTGGTTGCTACACCATATTTCTCAGTCAGTCTTATCAGCTGCCTACTCTCCTCAGTCAGCTTGAACGCTTTCGCAATTGGCGGATCCACAGCAATGACATTTCTGCTTTGGCTTGTCACGAATCTCGTGCGCTGGGTGCGACTGAAGATCTATCAGTATGAGGTGACTTTCGCCGTGTATATGCTCACCCCTACAGAAAAGTTCATCTTTAGTGCGTCAAGCTGTGTCCCTCCGAAGCGATTTATGCTTAAGGAACCATGTCCCCATCCCCAGGATATGGCGCGCTAACACTGGAACTCAAAAAGATTCTCTCCTCCTCACCCTCCTCACCATGATTATCACCGGCATTTACGTCTATTTGCCCGATCATATCCGAGCCATTTACAGTCACTTATACTACTACTGGGTCGGCGAACGTCCGTTCATCTCCGGGAATCTTCCGACCATCAGTTCAGTATTCCGCGAAGTTGGCACCCAGACGATGGATGTCCTCTACGAAACCGCGAAAAACCAAGCTGCCACGGTCACTGATTCGATTGCCGAACTCTGACCTCCTTCATTGCCTTGGTCTCCGCACTGATGTGTCTTCTACCTCCCCACCTCTTCTCGGACTTCGGCTTGCGGAAGTTCGGAAACAACGATGCTCTTTGTTTGCTGAGGTGCATTTCCAGCTGTGATACCATTGGGGCCTACTACCATTCTTTCTGCTATCACCATTTGCATTACTACCGCTTCTTAATCCACCCCCCACACATCTGCTGCACCCCACATCTATTCGTCCTCGAGCATAAATTGCATCAGCATTGCACGATAAAAGCGCAGCTTCTTTTACCTCCTGGTTCATGATACTGTTGCAACGTTGTTTCATGGCGTTTGAGCGATACAATCTTCCCTGGGACGGCGCATTCTTGGCGTTCATCATCGTTAGATCCTCTTCCTTGTGACCTTTTTTTCTAAAGCCCGCCACCTTCACTCGTCTTCCTGTCCATACTGTATCGAGGCTACTATTGTTATGAGTGAATATCCTTATAGAGCCTGTCGAATGTTGTGCCTGCCTCCGAGGCCACTTGGCCGAACATCGTTCATGGATGGCACCGTGGAGAATAAGCTTGGTCCTGTAACGCAGACTGTAAACTAGACTACATACCCCCAGTACGGCGCAGCGTATCCGTGGGATTCGGACATGCAGACACCGAGACTCGAGACGAACATACACCACCATTAAGCATTGAAGTACAATTTTGGTCTGCAGCTAAAGAAAAAAAAACTCCCGAGAACAAAAAGCAAAAACAGCCCTCCATCCCAAATATACAACTCCGGTCATGCTCAGAGAAGAGTGTTATACAACGAGAGAAAACAACGAGAAAAAACAAGTACACCCCCAGCCAGAGATAGTACATAATCGAGGGTACCAACCTCACCATATCGGAGCGGACACGGACACTGATAACCCACCCCAACCCTCTCCCCGGCTGGGAAATCCAACGCAAACAATCAACCCAGGCATAAATCTCTTTTCGCTCCGGGTCAGGATGTCAAGGCAAAGCCTGGCATTTAATCCACCCACACCGCAACGCAACCTTTTTTTTTTTTTTTTTGGTTCCCATCCCGCTCAAACAAAACAAGTCACTCTCGAAAAGGAGGGAGGCTACTCTGCGGATGCTTCCGTCTGGGCGCGAGACTGCGCCTGAGCCAGCTGCAGCTCCGCCTCCGCCGCCTCCCGCTGCCTCCGCTCCCGGCGGACGGCGTCGTTCATGCGCATGCGGTTCAGCTCGCGGTCGATCTCCTCCTTCTCGAGCGGGATCTTGTGGGATTGTTCGGCGGTGGGCCAGAAGCCCTTGACGGTGAAGCGGTCGTCGAGGTTCGTGCCGAAGTAGTACATCCAGCCGATGGGGAAGAGGATGTAGGTTCCAAACTGGTGCGCAGGTGACAAGGGTTAGAATTGGGTTGGTGTTCGGCATGAATTATGCTTGTAGGAAAGCGGAGATTACCTTGAAGACCTCGAGGTTTCCACCCTGGAGTTTGCGGAGGATGGAAGACATCTTGTGCGATTTGTGGCGGAGGGGAGGAAGGAGTGTGAGGGGGGGATGGGATGTATGAGAGTCTGATGCCGTATATACGGGTTTGCTTGGTGGTTGTATTGGAAGTGTTTTCTTGAACGAATATCGATGTCGTTGGTTATAGTCTGTCTGTCCGGATTCAAGCCAGTCAGTCAGTCAGTCTCCGGGGCGGGAACTTTTGGTGATGCTCTCCAATGGTCTGATACGAATCGATTATCTTCACGGAGCTTCTGACAAGCCGAACCCGCCGCAAAGCCCGGGATCCGTGCAAACGCAGCAAACACCCCACGTGCAATACACCGCTTAGAAGGTCATGTGACCATATGTACGAATACTCGGCGGTGCCGTGAGCCTCGGCTTGTTCGTTTCCTATGCTCGGCCCGCTGGAACCTCCCCGCATAAGCAGGGCTAGCGTTCTGCAGCAGCGGAGACTGGCCCCGTCTACTTAGCCCGCAGTGTTTCCCCAGAATAGATATAACTACCTGCTCTTTCCTTTCCGTTGCTCCTTTATTCCGTAGAACTTCGTGTTCAGTGCATGAATTTGGTCTGATTTAGCCTCATTGCATAACGGTTTCAACGCACAAGGTCGTGTGAAGTTGTCTCACTCACCGGAGGAAGTGCATAGACACATACATCAGCATTAGAAATTCCCCCCGCAACACATCGCCCTACACATAAGGACGATACAAGCCCATTCAACATGACGGACGAGAGCCTCATCACCATCACCTACCAAGGCCGAATCGCCGTCATCACGCTGAACCGACCCCAGAAACTCAATGCCCTGGACCAAGACCTCTACTACCTACTAGGCGAACGGCTCCGCGAAGCCGACGCAAACAAGGACACCTACATCACGATCCTGACCGGCAAGGGACGATTCTTCTCCGCGTGAGTTTCTCTTGCTTTGCGCCCGAAGCCCCAACTACCCAACCCAACTAACCTTGCAAAAAAAACCCCCAGGGGCGCCGACGTAACCATCAGCCGCCCCAACGGCGGCAGCCTGAACAGCAGCGCGCGCCGCGACCTCCTCCGGGGGTTCGTGGCCAACAACCTGGACATCACGCGGACGTTCGCGCACCACCGGAAGATCCTGATCGTGGCGCTCAACGGGCCGGCCGTGGGGCTGTCCGCCGCATTGATCGCGCAGGCGGACTTCATCTACGCCGCGCCGCACACCTTCCTGCTGACGCCGTTCTCCTCGCTGGGGCTGGTGGCCGAGGGCGGGGCGTCGCACGCCTTCGTCGAGCGGCTGGGCATCGCCCGGGCCAACGAGGCGCTGCTCATGAGCCGGCGCATCCCGTGCGAGGCGCTGGTCGCCGCCGGGTTCGTCAACGCCGTGGTGGCCCCGGAGTCTGGGCGCGTCGACGACTCCGATGGGTTTTTGGGCAAGGTGCTCGCCGAGGTGGAGGAGCGGCTGGGCACGCATTTGAACCAGGAGAGTCTGTTGCGGATTAAGGAATTGGTGAGGCGGCCCGGGAGGGAGGTGCTCGATCGCCAGAATGGGTTGGAGGTGTTTGCTGGGTTGGAGCGGTTTCTTAGTGGGGTGCCGCAGGAGGAGTTTCGGAAGTTGGCCTCGGGGGAGAAGAAGCATAAATTGTAGGGGTTGGGGTTGTTGAATGATCCTTGAGGGGGGGGGGCGGGGGGTGGGGGAGAGATTGTGCTTGTATTGCGCTGCGCCGGGCTCATATGATACATCCTTCAAGCGCCGGGAAGAGGGTCATGAGTTTGTACTGTAAACAGCTCAACAATGGTTGAATTCATAAAGCCTAATTCTGATATCACAGATTCTATTTTCAAGAACGCCCTCGAAACCTGAACACCATCACCTAACCTAGTAATTTCATTTCATAAAAAACATCACTCGTCCGAATCGGATTCCTGGGTCTGCTTGGCAAGGATATCCTGCCACTGCCCGAGGAACTCGCTCATGCCCCCGGGGCCCGTAAGGGAGGCATCCACCACTTCCTTGGGCAACTTATGTGCCGAGTACTGTGGCGTCGTGAAAGCATATGCCTCGGGGTCATCACGCTTCACCAGCCGGAACTCCGCGAACAGCGGGGCATCGTCATCGTCCCCGCCCTCGTTCTCGGATTCCGACTCGGACTCGGACTCGGGCTCTTCTGCCTCCTCCTCCTCCTCCTCCTCCTCCACTGCACCGTTGGCACCGCGGAGAGACAACCGAACGAACTGCTCTTCCGCGCCATCGTCTTCCTCCTCCTCCAGGATACCGACGGGGTCCTTCATCGTCAGAATCTCGAGCCAGCTGAACAGCAGCGAATCGGTCCGCTCGGCCCACGGGTTGATGTCAATTAGCCACACCTTCTCGTGGGGCGGCGGGATGTAGACGTCGAACACGAAGCTCGGATCGGGGAACGTGCTCTTCAGCTTGTCGTCGAAGAACGCTTGGATACGCGACCGGAGCGCATCGCGCATGGGGAACAGGAAGTCGAAGTGATTCTGGTCGCGCTGGCAGATGCAGAGCAGCACACGGTTGCGCACCCAGCACCGGAATTCGAGAGACGGGTTGAAGTTGACGTATTTGCGGAGGATGAGGTGGTAGGGGACCTCAGGCGGAGTCTCGGAGGACGCGGAATCGGCAGTTGCGGCATCAGCGGCGGCAGCGTTGGGAACGCAATCATCGAAGGGATGTTCCAGGTCATGAGTGATGAAATCACTGCTCTTCAGCAGCAGATAGATGTCGTTGGGCGTGCGGCACTGTAAGTCGTTGGTGGCCGACATCCAGGTTGCATCTTTCGGAGCACTCCAGTTCAGCTTCGGTGTCACTTTCCCCCCGTATTCGCTGATCGTGGACTTGATTTGGGAGTGAATCTCGGGCCACTCGACTGACGGGTCTGCCTCTTCGGCTTCGCCATCGTCGGAGAAGGTGTCGAGTTCATCGTCGTCGTCTGTGGGCGGGGCAGCCTCCGGCGGCAGAACAATACCGTCGGCACGCAGGTAGGAGACGAACTGGGTGCTGAGGGGAATCACTCGGGATTTGGGGACAAACGACCGGTACCTGCAGAATGCAAGGGGTCTCAGTCAGTACGCCTAACCAGAGTTGACTGGCTGGTGATGGGTCGAACGTACCGAGGTTGCCAGCTGTGATACGAGCAGTTCAAGATGTGGGAGTATGTAATCGGAGGAAAGGGTAGTCTTGTCAAGGGTTCGGAGGGAGTCCCCTCTGCTGCAGGTGTCTCTGGAGGGTCAATATGAGGCATGGTGACAAAAAGGCGCAAGTAATGCAAGGTTAGATGCGAGATTTGTATCCGCAGAAAGAATGGTCCCTTGTCGATCGCAAAGAGAGTCTGCGGGGCAGCCACTTTTTTTCTTGGAGTGAGTCAAGTTCATTGCCAAATGGGGAATAGTGTACGGAGTACGGAGTACCAGACGGACAATGCCACGTGCTGCCTCAGGCACGACAGATCGTCATCCACTCGTTCTGGCCTGCGTAGCAACATCGACAGGACCCCCGGCCTTATCGGCGTCACCGTTCTTCGGCAGTCATTGACCATCTTTGGCAAGCACTCGGTGATTTTTCCCCATGGCTTCAGATGGTCCGGATCCTCAGAGCCTGAAATCATGGCAGGATGCATTCCAATATCCAATTCCAACCGTGCGCCGCGTGGAGCAGGAGCTGCGGCGGGACATTGCGAGCAATAAGGAGAGACTCCGAGCTCTGGTTGGGTATGCCGTGGTCGCCCCGGGATTTGGATTGACAGGCGGCTGATTGTTGCTTGTGCATATAGGACGCGATATAGAGAGCTTGTGGGGACCGCCGAGAAGATCGTTTCTATGAATCGTGAGATGGAGGAGGTGGATTCAACGCTGGCGGACATAGGCCGAAGGTGTAACCCGCGGTTAATGGAGAAAACGTACACCCATGTCCAGGCAGTCGCGTCGAATAAGGGTATAGCTCGTTCTAAGCGCGCGATTGATTCGCTATATACTGATGGCTTGTACCAGACTCCCCCGAGCGAGCTCTCACAGGCCAGCTTGCCTTACTTCATCGCTCCGCAGTGTCGATGTCGAGGCTCCTCAGACGGCGAGGCCCGCTCCTACTCATCGCCAAGCTCATGGTCATCTCACGGCTGCTTCATAAGACCCTATCGCAACAACCGACAGTGCCGCCCTTCGTCGAGAACCTCCGCAATCAACTCGCTTCCCTCCGCCGAACCCTGCTGCGAAGAGTCGATAAGCGCCTTGCTCCTGCCAAGTCAACGCCAGACGAGATCATTGAAGCGCTGGCTGCTTACTGCCTAGCCACCAGCTCTTCTTCAGACGATGCGATCCGATACTTCCATCAAATACGTCTAGATGCTATTGGGAGCCAGCTCGAACTCAATGACCCTCCAGGCGAGAACATCCTGAACAGCTTGCGCCTTTACATTCGCACGTTACAAACTTCCAAGGTCCTACTTTCGCGGCGGCTGTCCGACGTACTAAACAAGTTGAAAGCGCGGCCACTTCTCACAGACCCCGAGGTTTGCGGCCTAGACGATCTGGACCTTGGTGTCCTAGGCCGATGGGTAACTTCAGATGTCAGCAACTTCACCCCTTGGATCAAATTGAGCGAATTGTCCAGGGCGGAAGTCGATAACATCATCAAGTCGTGGTCAGAAGCTGCCTTCGACAAGTATATGCAGGGGTCTCGAGAGTCATTGAAGAACTGGTCGGATTTCTCTAAACTTCTTACACTTCGTGAACAAGTGTTAGAACTATGGTTAGGCTCCCGGAGCTCAACGCCCGCCCACTCGTCTCTACAGGTGCTGGAGGGCATCAGGTCTGTTTTGAACGAACGACTCACCGGTATTCTGGCGGACCAAGCAAAGGACTTGGACAAGTTCGGCCAAAGTATTGCATCCACCGTCGCGGGCTGGAGCAATTTGGATCACACATACTCCCACTCACTTTGGGACGAGCATCTCATCTCAATCGACTACTCCGATGGCTCCGCTTACTTCAAAGAAGCTGTCGTGGATAGGCTTTTGGGAAGAGACGGGGACATTGTCATATCTCTCGGAAAGTACCAAGCTTGGCTTGTGTCGGTAGACAAGTCCAAAAGCTCTATCGACGCTTTGCGCCGAATTCGATGGTCTGATATTATCGATGAAGGCGAGGACGAAGACTTGGACGTGGACATTCCGGGAATCTTGACTGATGATGATCCCCGGTTGCTGCGTGAGGCTCTCGAGGCTGCTATCAAGGAAGCTTTCGAGACTCTTGATCGTTCCCTTTGCGAGATCTTCAAAGCGCTCAAGGATCCGAGCCTGAATGAGCAGGTCGCATTTCTGCTCAAGCTCATCAGACTAATCCAGAGAGAGCTACCCATCGACTTTATCCCGGTAGGCTACGCATTCGCTGATAGTGTTATCCCTCAATTACAAGAGATACTTGCTGCCGAGATAGTGGCGCACACGAGGCCATGGAGCTCGCCAGCTAGCGCAACTAAAAAGGCTCGAGAACTCCCAGGTCGCTCCCTTTGGGAAGGTGACCCAGCAATCCCTGTGCAACCGTCACCATCGGCGTTCAAATTCCTGCGCCGACTAGCGAGAAGTATGAGTCAATATGGCCCCGGGCTTTGGGATGCCTCGACCGTTCGATGTTTCAAGAGAACTGTACAGAAAGAACTTGTCAAACCGATTGCCTCTAGGATGGAAGAATTCAAGTCACTTTCTGTTCAGAATGGGGCTACTGATTCTGAAGCGGAAGTCAACGATGGCGAAGCGCCAAATTCGAACGGGGATGAGACTCCACAGCAAAAGGCCGAAACGAAGATCGCTGACCCATATAAATATCTTCAAGACCATATGATCCAGCTATATTTTGACGCCTCTTACTTCAAATCTGCCTTTGAAGTTGGTGACTCGGAGGCGAGCCACTTGGCGGACGTACTGGAAACGATTCGCGGAGAGCTTGAACCTCAATTGCAGGTTGCGAAGAAGATTGACAAAGCGGCCCATGAGCACTGGAAGCGAACCTACCTTCTATTCGGTCTTCTGGCAGAGAAGGTCGAGGCATAAGGTGTACAGTTGTTCTTGTATATAAAGGCATTATATTATCCACACTAGAACTGCACAAATGAACAGGTTCCATACCAATCGCAATCCCTGTATAGATGTCCATAATAGGAGTAGCGTCCGCGGGGGAAACTCACCGCCCACGTCACGTTTCCGCCGGTGACAATGACTTCGCCGCGGGAAAAGGCAATGCGTTCATCTCCTTCTGACCATTCTCATGCTGGTTGTTGCTCGCAGTCGCAGTGCTCCCTGACCTCTTCTACTGTCCCTGCTCAGCCTTCAATCCCTTCACCATGGCCACTCCCAGGCTTCCTTTCCTTTATCCGAACCTCATGCGAGCGGTCCGATCATGCGAACCCGCGACCCACCGCTCCATTCGCGCTCCATACTCCAGCAACCAGCAAGCCCCCTTCCACACTGGTCGAAGATACGCCCCAGAAACCTACCATCGACGATACGGACCTGCCGCAGAAGCCAACCTCCCTCCCCCCTTGAAGCCCAAAGACGGTTCCTCTGAGAAACAAGCTCCCGCATCCCCAGGCCAGGAAACCAGCGCTCCGAGTCCTGCCGCGCAAGAACAGTCATCGTCCAAGGAGGACAAGGCCAAAGCTCCTGAGGTCGACTCTCCCCAACCCAAAGATAAAGCCACGAAGTCAAAACCGGCCAGTGAAAGCAGCGTGACTCCAGAGAAGGCGGAGCTGGATTCCACGCCAAAGCCCAAGAAAGACACCGAGCCCACGATCTCCGACCTCCAAGACACCACCACCGCCGCCTCTAGCAAAGAGGCAGTCCCCATACTCTCCACCAACAACAACACTACCAATAATAGCAACAATGAGCGCCACTCGCCCGAGGAAACACAGTTCAACCCGCACATCCTCAAGCAGAATCCCCTGGAGGGCGTCCTCCACATGCCGTCCCCGTCCTCCTACCTGACAACGGGCGGCGGCGCCGCCCCTGACCCGACGAGCAACCCCCCGAACCTCTCCCCGGCGCCCTACGTGCACTACTTCGACACCTACTCGCTCGTGCGGGACCTCTCCAAAAGCGGCTTCTCCGACGAGCAATCCATCACGATCATGAAGGCCGTCCGCAGCATCCTCCAGAGCAACCTCGACCTCGCGCGACAGAGCCTGACCTCCAAGTCCGACGTGGAAAACGAATCCTACCTGTTCCAGGCGGCGTGCTCGGAGCTCCAATCCTCGCTGCAGATGGCCCGAGGCTCCGAGATGCAACGGCAGCGCGCGTCCCGGACCCAGCTGCAGCACGAGGCGGACATCCTCTCCCAGCGATTGAACCAGGAACTCGCCGGGCTGAAGGACGACATCAAGGGCATGTTCAATGACCACAAGATGTCGACGCGCGAGCAGCAGCGCAACATCGACACTTCGGTGCAGGAGCTCAACTATAAGATCACGGTGTCGCTGAATAGTGATGGCAAGAGCGAGATCGAAGGTCTGCGGTGGATCCTGACAAGGCGAGCGGCGATGGCCATCGCCACTAGTGCTTGTGAGTCACCGATCCCTCCCCCTCCCCCCTCCCGTCTTGTTATCCCGGGTTGAATGCTGACGCGCGCAGCAGTCATGATCATCCTCTTCCTCAAGTACTACTCCGTGCGCAAAAGCGAGGAGAAGAGCAAGAAGAAAGCCGACAAGCCGCCCAACGAGGCCAAGGAAAGTCGGGTCATCACTCCGGACCCCGTCCGGAAGCCCAAGTCGACACCGGCCCCGACCATGATCCATCTGGGCGAGTCTCTGGGTTAAGTGAACCACACCTCGGCTCAGGCCTGAATCTCGCCAGTGCCTCTAATTGACACACCCTTATTTCCCTTGTATAACCACTTTTCCCACTTCATAGACTTCTTTCTCTCCCTTCCTTGGCGGGTCTGACGGATGACCTGATCGATCAACCTTGACTGTTTCCATATCCATATTAGATTCTCCTTGCATCTGTGATCTTACCTTAGACATATACATACTCACTCGTCCTGTCCTGTCCCCCAAACTGACCACCCGCTACTCCGCCGCTGACTCATGTCGATACCCCATCGCCCCCTCTTTTCTTCACAAAGTTTCGCATCCGAATAGCCCGGTTGAGCGTATAGATAGAAAAAAATACATTTCACATCGCATTATGTTCTATCAACAATCATCCACGCCTCTATAAATCCCCTTGCGTATCTGCTTAGTCTATAACCTCTTCATATATGCAAAGAAGGGAACAGAAAAAAGTAACAAGAGCCACAAACAAAATCAAAACAAATTCGCGCAAAAGACTTTGTTATCATGATCTGCGTACAACAGAGCAAGTCGGCAGAGAGGAGAGTCTTAATTCCCTCCTCCTTCTTTACTCAAAGCCTTTTTCCACATATCATCCTGGCGCATGGAATGTCATATACCATTAGCAAAGTAATCAACAAGAAATCATGTACGTCATAGCTCCCTTCTCCACTTCTCTTTCAATTATACAGGAAAAGATAGAGAAAATATGCAGAGGGGTCAAACAAAGTCACATCACAGCAAATAGACAGGAAAAAGGACGGGAGCAAGATGAACAGGAAAAATACAATTCTCAAGTGCAGGATGAAGGAAACGATGGGGAGAACAACAAGGGTTTGATTCGCAATTGATGGACAAGAATAAAATGGCCGAGGGAGGTTTTGAATATACGCGGGGAAAAGGACAAGGAGGAGGATAGCGTGCGTGGCTTAGAAGTCCATCCGCAGCGCAATACTGGGCATGCTCTGTTGTTCATGGTCCGAGTAGGCGCGGTCGCGGCCCTGCTTGGTCCCCGCGCCGGAGGTTGCGTCGGCACTGCGCAGGATATCCTCGAGGAGGGTCTTCTGGGCGGGCTGCATGGTGGCTACCAGGGCGCGGAAGATGGCTTGGTTGGCTTTGGCGAGCTCGAGCAGGTGAGCGGAGGTCTCGGTATACACGGCGGAGCCCTCGCGGTCGGCGCGGGCAAGGAGGGCGGACATGACGAGGGACATGGCGGTGGGCGTGGCGTCCGCGGAGAAGACGGCGGTCGTGACGCAGGAGACCAGGGTGCGCGCGATGACAGTTCTAGAATTCTCCGGGTCGTCGGCCACGTCGCCGTTCTCCTTGGGACAGCCGACGTAGAACCCGATGAGGCGCGGGGTGAGGTAGCGGGCAATGCTCTCGCTGGTGGTTGATTTGGGGGAAGAAGTGAGGAGGATGGAGCGAATACAGCCCGCGGCGACGTTGGCGAGACCAACGTCCTGGAGGCAGTCGAGTAGTTCGTCTAGGACGCAGGGAATGACTGGGTCGTGCGGTGGGATAAGGTGACCCCCGGTGGTGAGCAGGATAGCGATCGCCAAAAGCGTATTCTTCGCGCAGGGTAACGACGACTCGGACTCTCGCCGTTGCGCGATGGTCAGCGTCGTGAGGAAGCGAGTCAGGCAACCGCGTAACTGGCGGGACACGACGGCCAGGTTCTCGGGGTCGTCTGGCCCAAAGTCCCGGTTGTTGCTGACGCTGCTGATGAAGTGCTTGAACGTGGGGAGCGCTTGGGGGACGACTTCGGCTTGGCATAGGCCCGTCGCTAGAATTGTACTGAAGATATGTAGAATACATGCGTTGAGGTCATTGCGGATAATGGAAGGGAATATTGAGGCGACATTGACCAGCGAGGAGAGGGAGAGCCGGATGAGCGACAAGGCGTCTTCTGATCCAACGCTAAACCGTGCAAGAGGCGTGGACTCTCGCAAGTTAGGTAGTAGTCCCGCAAGGACAAGGATGATGCTTCTCGTCAACTCGAAAAGCTGTTCGATGTCATCGGAAAGATGGTCATCTCGACCCTCGCTTCCCTTTGCTGACGGATGGTCTAAAGAGAGGTTGCGTGCAATTTCCACGATCACGTTCTGTATAGGGGTGCCTTCAGTCAAAGCAAGGCGGTCAAGCGAATCCATTGTCTCTGAGAAGATAGCGTCCTGATAGATTGCGTTGCCGGAGATCACTGGTCGTAGGATTCTCTTAAGTGCTTGGAGGATTTCCAGTCTTTGTGACGGGGTGGTGGACTGGTCAACCAAAGCCTCAAATGCAAGACCAAAGAGAACAAAAAAGAAAGCGACAGGCTCGTCGCGATAATTGATGTCGTGGCCTTTGCTTCCGATCTCTCCTTTCGGCGCATCCTGTTCCTCTTCATCCGATTTTTTCGACTCCTCAAGATCGGACTTGCCGTCTAACGCGTCAAAGACAAAATCAATATCCTTCTCGACCAACCCAGCAATTGCATCGACAAGGTTCAACCAGGAATCTTGGTAGAACTGGAAAGAAAAAGTAAATATACAGCAAGTTCATGTGTCAATCGAGTCTCATCATACCTTCAAGAGTGTCTCACGGTTCAATGCAGCGTACACTTCGTCTAAGTCGCCCCCTAATGGACCTGTGCCCAGGCTCCCCGAAATATCTGGCTCGAATCTCAACCGTGCGTACTCCTGAAGAGAGGAGAGCCAGAGGGGCGTGAGCTTGGTGAGGTATGGCTGAACGACCTCGTTCAGGTATTCTTGCTCGATACTAGCGATCTGCAGCCGTGCCCAGGCTGAATACAACGCCATTTTAACCATGACCCTGGCATTGGAATTAAGCCCCTTCAGTTCGCCGATTTCGGTCGTATCCAAGTTATCTTGGGTCCATTAGCCAACACCGATGCAAAAGCTTGATGAGCACACTCACTAGAGAAATTCTCAAGGCCAAGAACCAGAAGTTTCAGAATCCTGCCCATTCGCTCTACGTTCGTCACAATGCCTGTCGCAATGAATGTTGCTGAGACATTGATGGCCTCAGACGCAAGTTCGGCAGACGAGTCAGCAGCAAAAGCCGGGGTCAGAGCCGATCCAATTTGAGCCTGATATTGCTCGAGCAGAGACGCCTCCGTGAAATCCGGGTCTGGAGTCTTTCCAAACATCTGGTGCCGTATGTCAGTAAGATCTTTCCGAAGACGGGAACAGGCAGGAATCATACTCTTAGAACCTGGTCGATAATCTTCAGTCCCCAGATGCGGAGCTCTATCACATTTGCTGTAGAGGCCGAGAACGCCATCCTGACAATGTCTCCGACCTTTTGTTGTAAAGCAAGTTCAGCGGGAATGACTTGATCAGGCAGAATCGCTTCCTGTACGATACACAGGAGTTCACTCAGACAACTCATAACAAAGTTCCGCGTTTGCCATTTTAGCAGTTCCTGTCCGGAGACTGCGTCATGGGCTCCGTCAGACTGTCCGGCACCAGCAATTGCGGACGCAAAACCTGCAACCTCGTCATCCGGCATATCGTTGGCCGATGGCTTCACAGCAGATGTAAGAGGGGGTTCTTCCGCTTTGATGCGCGTCTTGGTCAAGGTATTGTGGCAGCGCTGGATCCAAAGCTCCGTCTCTTCGAGCGCTGTCTGCTGCATCCAATCTTGGATCATGCCTTTCAGAATCGGATTGTCAGGCATATCATCAAACGCAAGCCAAATTTCCTCTTCAAGCGCCGGAGTGGCGGTGCGGATAACAGAAGCGGCATCTCTTTTCATCAGATTGCTGAGACCTCGGATAGCCACATCTCTCATGAGAGGATTATTAGCAGAAAGCTCAACCTGCAACCGTTTGACATATCCAGAGAAGTCGACGTATGCCGGCGCATACAGTGAGAGATGATCCAGGCACTTCGAACTCTCCGTGACCAGGGCCGAGTTGTCCTCCAGCTGGAATTGCCTGAGCAGGGTGAGGATGAGGTTTCGCGTCTTCGCAATGTCTTGGAGGTCAGGTCCCAGCACATTAATTAACGAGTCAACACAGCGACTGATGAGCACAGGAGTAAGGAAGGTCATCTCAATATTGGATGTAGCCAAGGTCGCGGCCTCCTCATTGTGGGTATCCGCGTTGTACAACTGAGCGAGCATTCCGAGAGAACTCGAGACGAAAGGCGAAAAGGTCAACCCCGCGGAGTTCGCAACTCGTTCTAAACCACCCAGAGCCCAGAAGTGGACCACTGGGTGAGGGTCGTTACATAAAGACATTAAGACGCCAACGATGGTTTTGAGATGCAGACCAGCTGCCATGCCGCCGACTTGGGAATGAATGCAACCTAGAGCAGCAGCGCAACCAGCACGGGCATTAGGCTCTCTATTTTCAACAATTTTATCCACAAGCCAATTAATTTGTGTATTTGTGAAGGTGTTGCCGGAGCTCTCGCACAGCCGCCCAAGCGCCTCGGCGCCGACTGTGCGGACGATTAGGTCGGGATCGGTGACGAATTTCTGTCATCGTTAATCTTTCCGTCTTATCTGCAAAAGTTACATACACTATTGTCTCACCTGAACAAGCTCCTGTAGGACTTTATCAGTGGCGGGGTTGAGCCTCCCAGCTCCGGGGCCAATCTCCTTGACCGATACTTTGAGTGCATGAAGAAGCGCCACAGCAACGTTGACTATCATAGCAGCCTTGCGACCAGGGTTTCGCTGGAGGCTGGGCGATGCGAGATATGTTGCAATCTGCTCTACACTGCTTTCCTGAACCTTGGGGGCGTGCAGTGAAATAGCCACGGAAAAGAGATCGATGGCCGCATTCACGACACCAGTTGCGTGCGGATCAGCCACAAGACAATCTCCTTGTCTCGATGAATAGAGCAGGACCGAGTCGTGTTCGCTTGCAGGAAAGATTGGGAATGTCAACTGTTCATGTCAGTACGAAGTCAGAAGCAGATACGTATGTCTTCAACTTACAGCGTCATCGATACTTTGATCTACCGAATCGACTGCAGACCATGATGGCCCATTCTCATTGTCATTCTTGCCATTAAGCGCCGCGCGAACGTACTCACGGGTGATACCTGTCACCCCGAATCCGTAATTATCGCAGAGATCCCATAAGGTGTCAAACTGCGCGGTTGAGGCTGCAATCGAGCTTTCCAAGGGACCTGCCTGGGCAGCATCGGGATCTGCGAAGGAGGAAATTGCCAGACTCAAGAGGCTAGATTGAGAGATGACGTCGCCACGACTCAAGGGATGGACGTGAAGTAGCTTGGAGAAACACTGAAGAACACGTCGTCGGACCATTGTTTCGATATCGTGCAACTGTAACGATGGGTGGAGCCGCTGTGATGAATCATTTACTGACTTTTGCCGCGGGAGATCCTCAAGAAAGTCAACTGTATTCTGAAGCATTGCTGCAATTCTCTTCGCACCGTCCGCTGTGATCAATTTGCTATTGAACTCCATGAAGACCAGTAGTGCGCCTAGAGCACATTCCCTGACATGCGCAAGAAAGCTCATCTCCAATACTCCACGCTGAGCCGAGTTTTCCTTACTCAGATGAAGTGGAAGTGCATTCTTCCAAAGCAACATCAGCTGCGATAGATGTATTTTGACAAAGCTCGGCCCGAGGGGCATTAAACCTCCGATCAGGATCCAAGCGACTTGTATTTGCGTACAGGCGGCACGTAACTCGGAGTTGCTGCTGATTTTCAGGAGATCGGTTGCTTGAGTAAATACACGGGAAAACACATCAACAGACCCGTACAGAGGTTGCAGCCGAGATGTACTGAGCATGGCCGAAAGACCATTGGCATAACCAACACAGCGACGCGGCGACTGTCGCGGAGTGCCCAATTGGCCAACTTCTCTGTTCAAAGTATTCAGGCAGATGGTGACACAAGACAGCAATTGATGCGGGCAGGCGAGAACGAAATTGCGCAAACAATGCGCTGCATGTATTTGGACGGTGTAGCTGGGGTGAGACAGAACCTGCAGCAAAGCCTCACGACAAGGTTCAGCAAGAGTAGCAAATGCAGAACCAAGGAATACAATCAGGGAAGACAGTGCGCTCAAAGCGCTAGTCAAAGAGTGCTTGCTTGGCTCCCGCCGCTCCTGGACCACCTGAGGATAATCTTTGAGCACATCGTTAATCAACCATTTAGCCGCATTCAGTTGGCTAGTCTCTCGAAGCGATTCACGACCGACTGTATCTTCTAGAATGCTCTTGACAAACTTCCTTGTCATCAAAAGCCGGAACCGGTTGTACGTTACCGTAGGGTGGTTCAATAGATCGAACAGGAGGTGAGTCGCGATCTGGCCGTAGCGATCATCAATTGTCTTGTCACCTAGAATCCGCAAGACGTGCTTGTAGCATACAGCGATGCCTGCGCGAGCTCGATTAGACGTCGCACTCTTGAGGTATTGTGTAGAAAGTTGGCGAAGGAGGTCTGGAAGGAGAAAGAACAGACGTGGTTCTGCTTTCTTGGTAGTTGACGACTCTGAAACCTCGGCCTCCTCCTCGTCTTCCGTCGGTTTCGCTGTTGGTTTTCGTGACAGTCTTTTGGATTTCTTGGGCTTCGGCACAGAAGCGATTCGAGTGTCCGAAGCATGCAGTTTGGCTAGCGCGCGGGCGAGACAGGCTGCAGCGGCGTGTCGAACGGGAGCCACAGGACTGTCAATTGCCTTCCAAACCACGGTCTTTAAGTGATCAAAGTCGTTCGCATTATCGAAATATGGAGTCGTGTTCACAAGCTGTTCAAGGCAGCGACATGCGTGTACTTGGACAAACGTCGATTTGTCCCCGGTTGCGGCATTGCGGGCCTGCTTCCAGATGTCTCGGGCTGTGGCTTCGTCGACAGGAACTCCAGAGCCAACTACCACTTTTCGCAGCACGGAGAACACTGACCCACGACATCCCGTATGGTTGCTCGAGGCTTTGAGTAGCTTCAGTAAGCTTGACACAACAACTCCGGATTGCGCAAAGACACTCTCTCCGGCGACTGCGAATACCTCTCCCAGGCAGTGGGCTGCAGCGAACTTGGTTTTGAGTTCGGCCTCATTTTTGCTCGCATTCAGAGTCCCCAGCAGGTCGGTCACTGTCTCGAAAAGAACCCCGCGATCGCCCTTGCTGAAGATAGCACCGAAGCAGCGTCCCAGGTTGTTGCGAATGACTCGGGTGATTGTTGGTGACGGCAGTGTGAGGATCTTGAACAGCTCCTTTTTCAAGAATTTCTGCTGCGACGACACCTGGGCCTTATCCAATCCTGATATATGCTGGACTAAGTCCGAGGTGAATGTGAGGAGGTAGAGGTCCTGTTGTTCGGAGGGGAGCGCATGAAGCTTGCTGATGTCGAGCTCCGCACGGGGAGCCGCATTGTCGGCGGCGGGAGTAGACGTAGCATTTTCGGATGTAGACATTGGGGTTCGGTCGTCCCACCTAGGGCGTCACCCATATGAGGGTTCTATATTGTATGGAAGGGTGAAGTTGGAGACAGGGTCGAAGGGGGAGGGGGGGGGTGAACGGTTGGCGACCAGGTGAGTCCGACTGGCAGTAGTTGGTCTACTCGCCGACCAAGGCTTACAATACGTAGTTACGGTAGTCGATTGGGCCGGGCCCCCTTAAGCGGGCACTTGGCCTCATTTCCGGGGGCGGTGGCGGAGAAACTGTTGGGCCGGCCCCGCTATCAGATTGAAAGATGCGGTCCGATTGTACTGTGTGCACTGCACTTAAAGATGCATTTGCTCCATGCCGCTCCGGGAGCAGAAATGGGGCTGCCCGCTAATCAATAATATTTCCCGGTCCACATCACAATGGCCTCCTTAGTGAGCAGAAGCCTGATGCAGCAGCGCGCTGCTCGCATCAACCAGCTCACGTACACTACCTGCCGTAGCTTCACCAGCAGCTCCCCGTGGTCTGCAGGACACAACCGTTGGTCTAAAATCAAGCACGATAAGGCGAAGGAAGACAAATTGAAAAGCAAGGAGCGTCAACTCATGAACAAGGAAATCAGCACGGCAATTCATTGTGAGAATCCCAGTTCGCTCAACCTTTTCACTGTAATGTCTATGCTAATTCGGCCTAGTGTGGGGACCCGATCCGGAGTACAATCCGCGCCTGACCCTTGCCCTCTCGAATGCGAAGCGAGCCGGAATACCTAAGAATGTTATTGAAGCGGCTCTGGCGCGGGGAAAGGGCATAAGTTTGACGGGCGAGGCGCTGGAACAAGTCACTGTTGAGGCTATCCTGCCCCATAACGTCGCGGTCGTGATTGAATGCCAGACCGACTCAAAAGCCCGTCTATTGCAAGACGTTAGACATACTATCAAGAACGCTGGAGGAGCTGCTACCCCAACCATTTATCTGTTCGAGAAGAAAGGTAGAATTGTTTTCGAGAAAAAGGATGGCGTGGACCCAGATGATTATTTAGATCAGGCTATTGAAGCAGGCGCAACCGATATCACATCGGATGATGAAGGCCGCCTGATTGTCTTCACAGATCCCACGGAAACAAAGAGTGTGGGAGAATCGCTGTCAAAAGCCATTGGACTTTCAGTCGAAGAACTAGAGATATTCTGGGACCCAAACAAGGACACTATGGTGGATATCACAGACGAGGAGCACGTGAGACAGATCGAGACCGTCATGGGCAAGCTTCGAGAGGAGCCATGCGTGAACGATATTTACATGAACACGCGCCAGGCGTTCTGACAGGTTGCGGGCCCTGGTTGAGGTGTCTACAGCCCCGCGCACTTAAAGAATTGTATTATAGAATTAGAATGCCATACTAAATGTATCATAAATAGTATCACGAAGAAAGCTTACTTGAAGGCAGTCACCATCTAGTGTGCACTAATGACGTTGGAATCTAAAGCAATCATTCCTTCCTCAATGCTTTCATGGTGCTGCGCATCAAATTCCCAATCCCGACATTTCCTGTCGCATCCAACCAGTCGAGCATCCGAACACGGTACTCCTGCCAGGTCAGCTTCACGCCGCCCTCTTTTTCGAGGGCACTGAGTGCTTTCTGAGTCACGGGCCTTTGTAGTTTTGGTTTACTCTCGTCAATGCCGTTATCCTCCTCAATATCTGCAAAACATGCTGCCGACAAATTGCATAGAGCGACATGGTGACTCAGAGAAAATACAGATGAGATGGTGAACAAGAAATTGGCTTCTCGCTTTTTGTCCCGTGAGTTATCGTTCATATTGCGGATAAACCGAGTGAGGGCGTTGACTGTGGGCGCCGGAATCAGGCAACCTAGTGCATTAGGGTCTTCCGAGTTGAGTCCGCGGTTGCGCCAGAGCAAATTGCAGATGTCCATTATATATCCATTGAATTGACCCACAAGGTCTGTCGGATATAGTGAGTCGGTAGAGTGAGGGACCTGCAACGCTGGAGATGTGAGAGAAGCTTCGAATGACGACTTGTAGGTTGCAAGGACTGAGCTCATGATCGATATAACCGAGCTAATCGGGGTGAATACAAGGGTGTAGACTGTCGGAGCGAGAGGAATCGTAAGACGGATGCTGCCATTCGACGATGCATGCGAAAATAATTCAGCCAAGGTGCAGTAGAAATCAAGGACGGACAATGTAGCAGGCTTTGGCCTTTCACTTCCGCCGTCTGCTGTAGGCTGGATTGTAGACTCGAGACTCGACAAAGCCAAGAGTTCTGCGTGTGAGATAAGGCGCCCCAGTGGCTTATACTCATGGGCGCTGAAGGGTTGAGATCTCAGGCGCACACCCCATCGACGGATCAACAAAGAGTAGAAGTCTAGAAGAACCGATTGAGAGTGAGGCGTGCCGTCTAATACTGAGGCCTCCACATGGTGTAAGAACTCCTGCCGCAGGGGTTCATATTCTTGGAGAGGTAAATATGATAGTAAATAGAGCACTTTCTCTTGATTGTCATAGCCGTTCCACAGAAGGACATATTGTTGCAGGAATGGGAGCAAGGCGTGGGGTATTTCCTGTGGTCGAGTAAGTATACACGATAGACGAAACTGGGCCGGAGGCCATACCTTTGTATATTGCGCATAGTTCAGTGCAAGGTCTAGAATGTGTCCGAGCGACTCTAGCCCTTCTTGATCATGATTCTGGATGCGGTCTAATTGATCATCAAGGAAGCCTTTCAGCCAATTATTCAGACGTTGGTGCGCAGCCTCGGGCTGAGCCAGAAAGAGATACTTCTGAGCCAAAGCGTCTCCCATCATGGATATTATCTGGTTAGGGAGTTCAATGCGATCAAGTCTTTCGACAAAGTGTTCCACACTGCGCAACTCCTCCAACGCGGTATGGTATAAGAAAACGCGCGATGTTTGGACATCAGGCACAATAACCTCCATTTTCCCTCGCTTGACGAGTCCGCGATGCACTACCTGGAAATTTGACGGCTGAGTAGCCTGAAGCTTCTCCGAATGCGTTTCTTGGACCTGTCTTACGTGAGCTGTCCACTCAGGATCAGGGTGTTTAAAGAACAATGCTGTTCGCCCTGAAGGTACAAAATCGCCCACAATGACATCCGGGCAGTAGTTCTTGAAAGCCCTGAGTAGAGTAAGAAGCTCTTTATCGTCACCTCCAGAAGCACCGAGAAGCTCCATCAGTGCCTGGATCCTGAAAGGTTTGACGTGTTTGCGCCTGGTGATAAGCGAGAGCAGGTGGCACAGAGGCTTTCGCAAGCTTATCATGTCAAGATGATTGAAGAGTACCGCATAGAGCTTTAATAGGTGGGACCTATCATCCAGAAAATCGTATACAAGAATCAGCCATCGCAGAAGCAGAGCCTGCGTCGCCGGACTGGGCTTTGTCTTGGCAGGTCCTAGGCAGCATACAACTTGGGTGACGATCTTTGAGGATATCCGTTCTTGTGGATATAAGTTTTTGATCAGAGTGGTAATTGTTCCTTGATCAAGATGGTTGCTCTTAGTGAGGACTTTAATTAGACGTTCGAGGCCAAGCTGAGAAATCCCGCTCTCGTAGGCGCGTGTAGCTATTGTTTTGGCCAGCTGGCCAGCATCCGTGTATCGCTGCTTCGAGGGAACAAAAGCAACTGGCCAGAGTTAAAGATACAGAGCTTCAAGGTAATCGGTTGCCAGGGGACTTACCAGCTTCTAAATGCTCAATCGCATCCTGTAGGCTAGTTGGCGCGATTTCGGAGCCTGAATGGACTAGGTATTAAAACTGATAGTCAACCAAAGTCAGGTTCATGACAAACCTCTATCCGAGTCCGACGACATCGTGGTCTTATTTTTCTTATCGATCCGAGCGAATGTCTTCAGTGTAATTCTAATGCGAAATCTCCTAGCGCATGTCAGGCTGCACCGACGCCTTGTTGTTCTAGATCATCCAAGTCGCGCCGCGCGCGAATTCGAACTTGTCGCGTCAACTGCACGATACTTGACTGATTTGCCACAAAGAACAACCAGCGATAATAACACCCGCTACTCTCGACTAGAGTCCCGTCTATGGTTTCTCTTGCGTATGCAGGCTTTGATTGCCAATAAACTGGGTCGCACTCGCAGATCTGGAAGAGAGGCGCGGGAATTCGGAGTTGGGCAGACCTTACCAGATTTGGCGATCAACTGGCGAGCGTTCAGCTCCATGTCTCTCAACAACGGCGCACACTACAGCACTGCACTTGTCTAGAGGCCAAGAATCGCATCAGACTCAGAAAGAGATTCAGTGTGTTGATTCATAAGAAAAATATACTATTTTTTTATATAGGTCGCCGAGCTCATTCTCCGGGTACAATGCAAATCGAATTATTACGGACCGCGTCGGCTCAATACATTTCTATATTCAGAAGACGCCACGTGCCATTGTGTGGGGCGATTGATGGTTTAGAGATCCATGAGAATATGTTGAGTAAGATAGACTCCTCTGCCGTGCAATCACGATGCTCCCAAGCACGTTTCCTTCATTGGAACACTCGCAGACTCATGACAAGCATCACCCTACTTTCTTTTCTTTGCCGCCTCCTTGGACTTCTGGTTGCCAGATGCGGTAGCTGACGCTTCAACCTTGGGCTTCTCAGCCGGGGCAGCTTCGTCCTCATCCTCACTGTCTCCTCCCTGGCCGAACTCGTTGACACGGGTGTAGTCGACCTTGTACTTCCAGCCCTGGTAAAGCCAGACAAAGAAAATCACATCATCTCTAAGTGTGGCGAGTCTATGAAGCCATGGCATCTTGACAGTGAATGCGAAAAGGTCATCGATAAAAGTATTGAGGAACTTGTACATCAGCGCCTTGCCGGGCATGTGAGCGACAGACTATCATTTTGTTAGCAATGGAGACAGGTCGATTCCACCCGGACTATTTACTGACCTTCAGTCTGTAGTTGATATACAGACTAGGAACCATCATCAGGAAGCCGTACGCGTAGACACTTCCAACGAGGGTCTCAATGACATAGGAATACCATGACTTGTGAGTGTTGTAGATCAGGCTGTAGGCTGCGTATGCTGCGAGAAGAGGCACGGCGATGATGTAGAGGTAACGGAACGCGATTTCGTCATATTCCTTCGTCTTCTGCTCGGTCTCGCTGAGCTTATGTTTGTCCTCGAAGACCACCACGTAAGGTAGGAAGGAAAAGAACGATCCAGCTGGCGGCGGGCGCAGGCGCACGTCTACAGTTTTCGTAATTTTCCACGCCTCAAGCAATATACCGAAGCCTTGACTGGCAAGGATCATCCAGGACGTATTCTCGCTGTTATCCATCAGATAGAGGAAGATAACAGCTTGCATGAACACATTGGCCAGGATAGTGCGGACGGAAGTGCCGACGACATCCTTCTTCTTACGCCAGTGAGACTGCAGATCCAACCATTAGTAATGTCTCCACTAAATGACTCCGCCTAAGCATGGGTTACGCATAACCTACAATGTCGTTCTTAAACGCGAGAGTTTCGAAAACCATGTGGAGAATGGTGACCACACCAGTGGTTCCCAGAAGCCAGATGTTCGTGTCCAATAGTACTTCCTTGATCATTTCAAACTCGGAGCCATCGCTGCCGCCCGGAGCAGCGTTTCCAAAGGCAGCCTGCCGGGCGGTCTCCTTAGCGTTGGCATCAAGACTGGCCATCATGTTGAATTTCCAATTTTGCAGATTGTTGAGGGTGATGCGCAAAGGGACAGTGTCAACAGTCGAGTTAAGCTCCATCATATGGGTCTTGAGCTGCCAGAATGTGTTAAGGAAAACAATTGGGTAGTACCACCCGTTCTGTCCGGTGGCATCCCTCGCACCGCTGGATTCCAGCTGCATGTGGTGTCTGATGGCAGGATGAACTTGACGATACTTCTGGGCCCCGGAGTCAGGAATGAAAGAAACTGTGAAGTTGGGATGATAAAACGACGCGATTGACACATTTGGGGTGTCATCGACCTCTTCCTCTGCAGCTTGGTCGTTGGAGGCAAGCAGGCTCTTGAGCTTCTTGGCCTTCTTCTTAGGGAGGTACTGGTTCAACGGGCGATAGAAGTGAACTGCGCTATCCGTGCTATAGTCCTTTGCTGCAGGATCAAGTTGATGTCCACTCAGCCCAACAAAGAAGTGTGCCCAGAGTGTACCGTTGCGCTGAACTTCCTTCGGAACCTTAATGGTGGTATCAATTTCCCTGGTGTCGCTGTAATTACCGAGAGTGAAATTCCTCTCTTCCAAGACAAGTGAGCCAGACGGGAGAGTCTTGAGGTTTGGCACAGCGATGGAAGGAGAGACATAGATATTCATGTCGAGAGAACTATCGGTAGGCCAGATTGGCGAGACGAGGTCAGGGATGTGGCTGTAGTTGGGGATCTGGCTGCGAGGCGGACGAGCAGCAAAACTGGGCACGTCATTTGACTTTGCGCCAGAGACAGTGGTTTCCTGATTGCCGCCCATGAACTGGCCCATGATGAACTTGGCGAACATAAAGACAGCCAGGCCCTGAAGGACGCCTCTGAGGCCGGACTAGAAAGCAGAAACCAAGGTGTCAGCCACTGGGAGTTGAATCAATGCAGAAAGACGCGGCATGTACTCACGCCTAGCCCCTCCTCCTCCCTACGTTGTCTTTGTTCAGGCATTTTTGACCGGCTGTGATCGCACCTGGTCAGCAGAACAAGAACGAGGTGGGGAAGGAGAGAAGGGGAGAAGGTAAGAAAAGGCCACGCGCGAAGGACGGCGGCGGAGGCAAGCGATGGCCGGCCCAGAATGGCCGGGTGTTTTTGCGGGTCCGTCTTATCGCCGGGCGGGCTACGAGCATGACATACTCATAAATCGGGTCTTGCCGACCGACCTGTGTAGCTACAATCTCCATCTACTCCGTACTATCACCGCCGCACCGGAGATCGCACGCACCCCCGCGCAAAGAGATTCCGCCCCACGTTACGAAAACCAAGTAAACCCTGTTTACAACTGGGGTCTACGACGTGGTATTGCAGGGCGTCTCGTCGCGCAATTCGACATGCTGGGCTTTCGAATGTCGGCCTAAACTCCAATGACGGACAATCATCCTTCTCCCGATTACTCCCGCCCTCAGTTTCCTGCCCATCATGAGCCACGGGTATGGGTGATCACGGCTGGAGACTCGCCTATCGGGATATCAGTTACTCGCCAGATTCTCAAGCATGGTGACTGCGCTCTGGTAGGACGGGCGTACTCAGAGTCAGATCGAGACGAATGTCGTCGCGATGGCTTCGACGCATTTCTGGCCGAGATCGAGAGCCACAGCGACGAGGGATGGGGGCAGCGATTTATGGCTGTTCCCCTCGATATAAGGTGCGCGGTCAATCTTATTCGCTTCGTTCACTATTAGGTATGGCGCATGCTTACATCCATCTCGCAGAATGGTCGGTGAATGCCAAGCAGTGGTCGCGCAAGCCGTTGCGACATTCGGGAGAGTAGACATTCTCCTTTGCTGCACAAGTCAAGGTACGTCAGCCAACACGCCCGACCTCACACCCAATGCATCTCCCGCTAACCAACTACATAGCCCTCATTGGTACAGTGGAAGAGCTAGCAGCTTCCCAGCAGACCTTGAACTTGGTTCGGGACCAGTTCGAGATCAACTACTTCGGCCCTCTGAACATCATCAAGGCGACACTTCCCCATATGCGTAGACAAAAGTCAGGGCATATCATGATTCTTTCTGGCATAAGTAAGAGCTTGCACAAGCCTCTCGAAACTGAGCATCCACACTAACAGCAAGCAGCTGCTCACATCGGCACACCAGGCTTAGGAATGTACTGCGCTGCAGGCTGGGCTCTTGAGGGATTCTGCGATGTAAGAGTGTTTCTCTGGATACGGAATACATAATCGTCGCTAATGTTGTCACCACTTTCTAGAGTCTCGCATACGAGATAGCCCCCTTCAATGTCAAACTTACCATTTTCCAGTGCAGCATTGAAATCGGAATCCTGACCAATCTGGTTACAAGTGTACCTCCAATCACCCCCGTCTACTCTTCCTCAGTCAACCATGCGCCGTTGTTCCGCGGGATCTTGAATCGTCTCGTCTCTCGCCTGCCTAACCACGATGCTCGTAACACGGGTCTAGCAAATGGCTCGGTTAGCTCCCACCGAAGTAATCCTGTCGAAGACGGTCCGTTTTCTGCGCCAGATGTCATCTCCACGTACCCTCCGCTCAGCTCTGCGCACATGGAAGTCCTGGTCACCGAGACCGTGTATGCTATAACGGCAATTGGGGGCCATGAAAACCCACCCTCGCGACATATTGTGGGCCAGGAGGGTGTTGCTAGTGTAAAGGAAAAGTTGAAGACGGTCAGCGAAGAACTCGAGGACTTCATTCAATCTAGCTTTGCTGTTGACTATGCGGCCGATGATACTAGCCGGATACCCAAGGATGACGGCATGGGCACTGGTCAGGAAGCAACCTGAAGCAAGTTCATGAATCGATTAATAAAGCATGGCGACATGTTGTCAGCCAGCCAATCTCATCCGATTTCTACTATCCTAGACTAGTCCAATAACAGGCTGTGTTTAGATCGAATTCACCCAGGCTCGGTCGAAACGGTACCCACATCAATTATGTTGATGTTCCCTTCTTGTTCTCGCGCACAAACCAGGCTTGTCTGACTTCCCACAAGCTCCCCATGTCCTGGTTGTTTCTGTGAGCTCGGAACTCCTTCCAAGCATTACCATTTGGCACCTTCTTGATCCGCCCATCTATTTCTATGATTTTCGAGGCCAATGCATTGAGTCCCTGGATGTTGGAGACTATAATCTCCTTAGCGTCTTGGCCGTGGTCTGTAGGCAGAGCCGCGGTTGGATTTGGGCTATCCTGGTTGGAATCTGGTTTGGGAAGCGGCTGATCCGTAGATGCCTGGATTTCCATGTCTTTCGGGTCTAGACTACCATTTGTAGTGCTGGTTTGAGACTCCAAACACTGAGGTTTGCCCTCAGAAAGTGAACTTTCCGTAGGTGTTTGATCTTCCACATTGTTCAAATCCAGGTTGTCAGTTGCATTGGTGTTCGGAGACTCCAAGCGCTGCCTCTTGCTGTCAGGGAGCTCAGAATCTGACGCGCGTTTATGATGAGAGATAGCCTCAGTCTTTTCGGCTTTCAGCTCCGATCCTGTGTTGGTCTCACCGGCCCGCTGTCGTCCATTTACTTCGGTGGTTTTTGTGTCAACCTTGGAGTTCTCTCCATTTGTTGGGCTCGTCGAACCTATCGCGGAATCCGGCGCAGAGGAAAGGAAGACACGCTGCCCCGGCGGGACGGCGACGGTCAGGTCTGCGCCCTCAATCTTCACTATCTGGTGAGGGGTTAGCAACCCGGACTTCCTCTATGCGACCAAGGGAAGGCACCAGGAGGCTTCACATACCCTAGCTTCCTTCTCCACAAGGACCTTCTGATTGCCTGTGGAGAAAACCCGGGAATACTTCAAGATATCGCCTTCACAGATCACTCCGTGATCAGTGAGCATCTTCAGTTTGACCTGGGAGCTCTGTCCGGCCACCAGCCTCCGGTCGACTTTCTGTTTCTGGCCCCAGAACTCCTCGAACTCCTCCTCCTTGAACCGATCAAACTTCCCAGCCGCCCTCTCTTCGACGGCTTTCTCCGCCTGGCGCTGCCATTCCGGATGGTAGCGACCATGCTGGAGATCCAGCTGGAATTGGCGGATGCCGTCGCGCCAATTATTCGAGTAGCGGAGAAAGGACTCCGGTGGTGGGGGGATCTTTGCGTCTGGGTCGCCAGCCGGAGGGTAAGGGTTCGGGTGTGCGTTGTCGGGAAGGAGTTTGAGAATCTCCTCCTTCTCACTCTCTTCCAGACATGTCCAGGCTTCAGGATGGCGAAGCAATTTCTAGAATATAGATCGCAATCATTAGTCTCCCCATCCACCAATCAAAGTACCAAGTAACCTCCTCGGGGGGGGAGGGGGACTGTCAACCTCAGCTGAGACACATACCACCAAATCCAAGCCAACCAGCCGCGACTTCGGGCTAGTCATCAGGTGCTCCTCACTCCATTGTTTGTTCACGGCTGCCCGCCTCGGATTCCGCTTCGGTCTGGCGTTTGTCGATGACATCGCACAGCTGCTGCTATTATTAGGTTCGCCCGGGTTGCGCTGTGGCTCCTCCGCCTTCGAAGATCGATTTGTTCGGCTCCTGGAACATCACTTCTGGTTCAGCATTGCCAATAAGAATAATGGTGTTTCCCTCTTCCCACAGATTCAGTCGATCCAACCGAATTGCAACCTTCAGGCGCGCGCGCGCATGACAGACAATCAATCCAGCGGACGGACGGACTGGTGGTCGGTCGTACCTCGTCACTCGCTGACACTCCGAATTGCCGGCATCGACCGCCTTGCGCTTTGGGGCCATTGTTCCGCGGCCTGGCCTGGCTGGGCCAGATAAGTCGGAGTAGAACAACAGCGATAGCTGGTGTCTATAACAGTGTCACTGACGCAGCAGTTTAGCTTGTTTTTCTTTCTTGAAAAAAATCAACTCTGAATATCTCACGGTCAAGATGGTCAGGTCAACTCAAATCGCCAGAATCGATGGTATGCTTGGAATGTCACTGCTGCTGTTACGGGGAGAGGGGTGTGTGTGTCCGCAGCTTGCGCTGATGTTTGGAGACAGGCTTGATGTTGGCAGCGTCGGTGGATGATGAACAGGTCAGTCAGTCGGCGGAGCGCTTGCAAGTGAATTGCAAGTGAATGTGAAACACAATGAGATCGTCGCTAACACAGAGCGCTTTCTTTCCTTGCACAGTCAGAGGTGGAACTGTCAGAGATCAAGTCTCAGGCCAAGATGATATTCCGTCGCTTGAACCGCAATTCAGAGCCGCAGGCGAGCATTGAATCCGGCCAGTTCAGTCTACAGTAAGGACAGAGTGAATGTCTTCAAGCCCAGCTTATATGCTCACTCGCCGGCTCGTTATCTAGCTATATCATCCAAGACGATATCTGCTTCCTCTGCATATGCGATCGCTCCTACCCCCGCAAGCTTGCGTTCACTTATCTCGCCGACCTGGCGACCGAATTCACCACCACCTACTCGCCGACACAGTACCAATCCCCCACCCTGCGACCGTACGCCTTCGTGGAGTTTGATACCTTCATTCAGCGGACCAAGAAGCTTTACCAGGACAGTCGTGCGTCGGCGAACCTGGACCGGTTGAATGACGAACTCCGGGATGTGACAAAAGTGATGACCAAGAACATCGAGGATCTACTGTACCGTGGTGATAGCTTGGAACGCATGGGAGAGTTGTCCGGCCGTCTTCGGGAAGACAGCAAGAAGTACAGGAAAGCGGCTGTCCGCATCAATTGGGAGCTGCTTGTCAAGCAGGTGAGTACAAACGTGCTCCCATGACACATAGAGAGTGCCGCTAACCGTTTTCCATAGTACGGCCCCTTCGCAGGCGTCGGCTTCATTCTCCTTTTCATGATCTGGTGGCGCTTCTTCTAATGTCTGCGCTTGGTAGCCACAAATTTGTATACCCACTAATATGAATGTATGCATAGTTAATGTCTTCGGTGGATGCAGGACACCATCGTCCTTGGCTCAGAACTCGAGAGAATTTCTGAATTGATACAATTCCTGTTTTTTATTGTCTGCAGCGAGTGTGGTATGTGTGAGGCACGTGTGACGCATGTGTGATAGATTTCGAGTCCCTCTATATAATCATAAGTCGTTAGGGTAGTCATATTCTGCGGGCCAAAGAAAGCGCGGGATCGTTCGACCCAGCATCTAAACAGCTTGTCAGCTCCGTGAAACAGACTTGATGGCCGGTGTATCTCTCTTAAATCTCATCCTCCTCTTCGTCAAAGTCGTCTTCCTCTCCCATGTCGTACAAGATCCGACCCCCTTCGCCTGGGCCGTCGCCTTGCTGCGCATCAAAGTACGGCAGCACGACACCCTCCCGATCTCTCCTCTGTCGATCTGTAAGACGGAGCTCAAAGGTCGATTCGGGTTCCTCTTCTCCCGCGCCAAAGTCCGGCTCCTCTGGCGGGCGATACAATGGGTGGTCATCCAGCAGCGTCACGATCTCCTTCGCATACTGCGGGGGATAGCGCGAAGCCGGCGGCAGGATGTACCATTCCAGAACGCCGCGGCCACTCTTTCTCCGGTGCTCCAACTCCAGCACAACGCCCTGGGCGGATTCGTTGCCGATCGGCTTATCCAACCTGCCCAGAAGCACGCCATCCAGCTCTTCCTCCAGACCGAAAACCGGCGGCACCAGACTCCTATCGCGAGCCGCCTTCTGAGCCAGGATGTGTGAGAAGGAGTGCAGGCGGATGATCGTGGTGGCGAGGTAGGTCAACATGGACAGGGGCGACGGGGTGTAAGGCGACGGGAGCGGCGGGCTGGGGACGTCTTGGTGAAAGGTGACCACAAGCGAAGCTTCGACTTTGGAGACCGTGGGGGGGCCTTGTGGCATGAGGAATGAGCTCAGGAACGACGATACGTTGAAATGTGCGTCGGTTCTCCTCGCATGCAGGAGCGGGTTAATGGCATCGATCAGAATCAGGCGCCCTGGCTTTGGTGTCAGTCGTGTCGCCATTGAACCGTGTTGCCAGGATGGAGGTCGCATATACGTACTGCGAGAGGGACCGCTGGTCGAAACATTTGGGTAGGCTGCATTGACAGCCTTGATGATCTCTAGGGGGCTCTTCTTCCGAGCGGCAACGAAGGCATCGACACCCTCGAGCGGCCTCAGCGTCTCGAATGCGACAAACGTGATATGAACTTTGGATAACTTGGAAGAGCGTTAGTCACCTTCTCACGCAGCGGCGAGACGTAGACCGGCTGGACAGTTGGGTATGAAGACAGACGCAAAGCTCGCCAGGGAAAGTCATGTCTCGCCGAAATTATGTAGAAGGGGTCAAATCACCTTGGCGCGTCGGATGTATTCCTTGATCAATGGGGTTGCGGGCTGCTCTAGAGAGTCCAATACCAGCGCAAGTGGCGACGCTGTATCTCTGAGACTGAGAAGTTTCGATATCAAGAGTAGGTTATGAGTCTGTCTGTGGGAGGTGTTGGTGGGAGCCATTCTGCTGGATTCGGGCCGTGGGGAGCAACGGACATTGAAGAAAATGCGAAGATTGCGGGGTCGGTTTTTGCATGCAATAATAATGAACGCCGGCGGGGAGCTTAACCTCTGGAGGGGTTCGGCCTCCCCCAAAAGTTCCAATCAGCAAGCTTGCCGGGTTTAAGCTCAGCGCCTGCTTCCGATGTACATAGTAGTTGGATCCACCGGACTTCTTTTCCTTTTCGATCTATACATGTCGACATGGAATTGATGTCCTTATGATCGATCCATATCAGTTTTTCCTCGATTAACTGCATTAGTCTCTTTGAACCGACCTTCTCGCCAGCATAATCGGTAACTCATCAGCTTCCTACCGATACGGCACCCGCCACTCCCCATCTAGACTGGAGAACAGTCCACCCAGCAAAAGAGGTGGTGGCCTGGCTTTCAGCTGTCATGTCACGGTCTAAGCAGCTGGAAGCTAGCACAAGCCTTGACGACCCTATAATAGCACTTTATCGTGCTTTTCATCTCGCAGATTCTCATTTACTTACTCCCCTACCGCCACAGACAACTTCTGACAATTATTCTGACCAGAGCGCTGGGTATGTCTGTTTATTCCACCAGATTGCAAGAAACAGCTATACTCGTATGTAGAAAACCTCTATTTCAGAAAAGCGCTTCGGTGATCGATACTCTGTGGGCTTTGCAGGCTGTTTGTTGCAATTTAGCTTAGCGGTTCGACGGATATATCTTCATCACCCATGATTCTGTGACCCATATGACATCGCCCCTGCTGCTGAATTGGAAAGTGAAATACGCCAAACATCAAAATCCAAACACTAACTCATCTGGCAAATGCCCTTATGAAAATGCATAACATGCATCAAGAGTTTGCTGCGAATCAATCTTCAACGAAGTTCACTGGCTTGATCATTGGGAATCAACTATGGAACGGTGCACAAAAGTGCATAGTTTTAATTTTTTTTTTCGCTTCGTTTGAATAGTATGCTATGCAGTCTAAACCGTCTAGCTACAGCATGAGGCTACAGATAAGCAAGATCGCAGGAGATGATCAATTTGTCAAGGCTAGTAAATAATAGTTAATGATTCCGAAGGCTGAAGTTACCTCCAAGCTTCCGCGGTATTGAGCTAGCCGCGTTCATGGTGCAAACCGGCGACCGTAACAACTTCACGCTTTCAGCTTTGGTTTTGGAGTCAGTCACTGGACACAATTTCTCGGACACGCTCCTATATGCTACCAGTCAGACCATCTTCGTGCAATTGAACAAGCCCACTAGAATGATGACTGCCATGATTTGACCTGCTTCCAAGTTTTGCCATAGACACATTTTCCCACCAGTCTCGCCCCCTACCCGTTATCATTCGCCGCGGGAACAAAACCTCACGCATCGACTTCACAACATAGCCTACCCGCCACTTCAGCGCATACTTACTACGAGACCAAAACCTACAGACCGGCAAAATGGCGGAGCCTCCAGCGAAACGTGCACGGAGACCCGATAGCTCTACAATGTGGGATCAAGATGACAGGAGAACACGCTCGCCCGAGCCAGAGTTAGACTACACCCGAAGCCCGCGGCGGGAGCATGGAAAGGAGCAAGGTCGGCGCGATGGACCCAGAGATGATCGAAGATACCGCTCTCGCTCGAGGGACCGGAGAGACAGGCGGCGCGATAGGAGCAGGTCAGGCGATCGTCGGGATCGTGATCGAAGGGACCGAGACCGTGACGGGCGAGGTACGAGGGAGAGAAGTATCAGCAGGGAGAGGTATCATGGTAAACGAGGTATGTGGCTCGCTGAACCCTATCCAGCCGGTAATGTGTTTAACTTGGTGCTACAGGCTATCCATCCAAGGGAGACAGATATCGGTCCCGATCCCCTGTCCGGAATGGCAACAGAGACAAATCCAGGACGCCACCCCCGAGAGGCCCCAGAGCCGACCGTAATCCTGATCGCAGAGACCCCCGAGCACAGGCGAACGGTGTCGCGGATACAAAATCGCGACATGGTCGGCCTCGGGACGAGACCGAGATGGATATCGACGATGCCGCCGACGATGACGATTTCGAAGAGATGATGCGCCGGAACATGGGCTTTACAAGATTCCGGAGCACGAAAAACACCAAGGTTCCCGGAAACAATGTGTATGGCGTTCGGAAGGAGAAGAAGACGGAGTACAGACAGTACATGAACCGCATAGGAGGATTCAACAGACCGCTCAGTCCGTCGAGGCAGTGATTTCCATCCCAGATCTTCTTCCCTCACAAAGATTTTTTACCTGCTGTTACCTACAAGCCATCTCCTCACTTACATCTTTTCTATCTTCTTGTCATTGTTTTTATTATTGGGTGATATAATTGTTTTTGTTCCCCTTGTCGCAACATGCATTGCTGGAGTAAGATTACGGGTGGCCTTTGCTTTTTCGAACTTAAATAACAGGCGAATGAATATTTACCTACTCAAATCTGCCTGTACTTTATAGACGGGTTCAATTGAAAATCAAGTAATTCAAGCCTCTTATCGGCGTCCAGTAAGCGCTCGGGAACACATGACCGGAGTGACGTAGGTGCTCTTAAGAAGCCCTCTCCACCCCCTCTTCTGGTTCTTTCCCCTGAACCACGGACATATTCCTGCGACAGAATCGCCAATCGTGGCTTCACTAAGGATTATAGGCTCTAGATTTGCGCCATATCGCAGGATGTCCACCAGCAGCGAGCGCCGTGAGATTGTCATTGTGGGTATGTTCATGGTTCAGTAGATCTACCCCGCACGACTGATGCGACTTTATGCTAACAGCTTGTTTTCAGGCGGTGGTATCATCGGATGCTGCTCAGCTTACTACTTGACACGCCATCCGTCCTTTGACCCATCTCGCCACTCAGTAACTCTCATTGAAGCAACCGAGATCGCAGGAGGAGCGTCGGGAAAAGCTGGGGGTCTGCTGGCTTTATGGGCATATCCGAGCAGCATCGTGCCGCTGAGTTACAAGTTGCACGCCGAATTGGCCAAGGAGCATAATGGCAAGGACCGATGGGGGTATCGTGAAGTCAACTGTGGGCAGCTGATCATTGACGGTCGACGACTGCCTGAGAAGAAAGAGCAAAGCGGGGGTAAATCAGAAGAGTCCGTGTCGCTGCAGAAACGAAGCGCCGCTGCCTTGGAGAAGCTGAAGTCTGCTCGAGTGCCGAAAGACCTGGATTGGGTTGAGCCTGAGCTTGTGAGAGGCTATGAGAGCATGAGCGATCCTGGGGAGACAGCTCAAGTCCATCCTTACCTTTTTACCACTTCCATCGCCAAATTAGCCGAGGAAAGTGGCGCAAATATTACCCTGGGATCGGTTACTGGCATCAACTACTCCGAGGACGCTGTCCAGTCGGTGACCTATACTGATAAGAAGACCGGGGAATCGCAGACTATCTCTGCAACTGATGTTATTGTTGCTGCAGGTCCTTGGACGAGGACCGTTCTGCCGGAAGCACCCATCACGGCGACTCGTGCCCACAGTGTTGTGATCCGTCCCCAACAGCCGGTCAGCGCATACACCCTGTTCACCAACATTGCGCTCCCGGCCAACTTCGATCCAACCAAGCCCTCTCGTCCAGATGTGGCAAGTCCGGAGATCTACGCTCGTCCGGACGCCACTGTCTACGCCTGTGGTGAGGGTGATCAAACTGTTCCCCTGCCTCCGACGTCCGACGAGGTCGAGGTTGACGAGGTGCGATGCCAAGAGATCATCAACCAGGTTGGCAGTATATCTGATCGCCTTCGCAATGGAGAGATCTGCGCGCGACAGGCTTGCTACTTGCCAAATGTGGCTGCTGCTCGCGGGGGCCCCATGATCGGCCATACTGGCACGAAGGGATTGTATCTAGCCGCTGGTCACACCTGCTGGGGTATCCAGAATGCGCCTGGCACCGGTAAACTCATCAGCGAGTTTGTCTTCGATGGGGAGGCTAAAAGCGCACGCATTCGAGCGCTTGACCCAAGAGAATACTTTTAAAGGAAGTATAGATACATAGAAGCCGAATAAAGTAGATATGTCCTAAATTTCGTTCTTCTATAAGTACTCAGTATGTCTGTTGCTCAGGCTGCAGAGGTACATACAGTACTAGCGCAGGTACGTCGTAGACTACCATGGCCCAGCGGCCGCGGCACTGCGGAGCTTGGGCCACGTAAGTTGCGGAGCGGAAGAGCGGCCGATGCTCCTGCGGATTAAATGACAGATAGTTATTTCACATTGCGTACCACCACCACTACTCACTCTTAAAGGGGGAAGCTTTATCGATCTAGGCTTCTTCCCATGACCAATCCCTATCCGTGAGACTTGCAAATTCTCATTCGATGCTTTCTCTGGAAAATGCATCTCTCTAAACTTCCATTGCTGCTAGCGCCGTTACTCAATGCCGCTACGGTGCTCTCCGACCAAGCTCCAGCAGATGATCTATCCGTCTTGACCAACGAGGTTGCAAGGGCCAACAACCAATCTCTACTATGGGGTCCTTACAAGCCGAACCTGTACTTCGGGGTCCGCCCTCGAATTCCCAACAGCTTCTTCGCCGGGTTGATGTGGGCCAATGTGGACAACTATGCCACGGCACAGCAGAGTAAGTTTCGCAGTGAGAAGGGCGATTGGGGTGCACATATACTGACTTGTCCAAAGACTTTAGGCACACATGCGAACAGAACGAGGGGATGGCCGGATACGGCTGGGACGAGTACGACATTCGGAAGGGTGGCCGCCAGACAATCCACGACGAAGGCAATGCTCTCGACATGACGATCGACTTCATCAAGGTCCCCGGTGGACAGCATGGAGGCAGCTGGGCTGCTCGTGTGAAGGGTGTTCCCCGCGAGAATGGCTCCCCTGATCAGTCGACGACCGTTGTTTTCTACACTGGGCTGGAGGGACTCGGAAACCTGGGCGTGACCACTGAATCCGAGGACTCCCGCGGCTTCGAAGGCGACGTGAAGCTTACGGGCTATACCTCGGACCTTGGTGCTTTCTCGGTTGATGTCACTGCTGGTCCCGCAAGCAATGATCACCCTGAAAATGACCACCCATCTTATGATGAGAAGCCCCTGGACCGTACACTGGTGTCTAGCTTGGCTTTGAACCCGGAACAATTGTGGCAGACGAAAGGTAGACACTCTTCCAAGACGCCTTCACGCTTTAGAGAACGGTTACTGACATCGTGGTAGTGATTTTGTTCTCCAAGATGAAGGAAGAGGTTGATGCTGCTATTGAGAAGCACGGCCAGGAGAACCCCCCGCCTGCTTCTCAAATCTTCACGATCAAGAACGAACCCGGCGATGGAAATATTCATCTCGTGCAGAAGGTCTTCAAGGGTGCTTTTGAGGTAGGTACACTACAGAGTAAGTCTTATGGTACTTAGTTGCTAACTTAAGCCAGTTCGATATTCTCTTCTCGTCCGGATCTTCACCGCTACCGTTGACATGTGAGAAAAAACAAACCCACAAGCTCTAATGACTATCAACTAATGATTCGCACTAGCGGACATCTTGACTGAGCAGATTAACACAGCATCCCTCGCCTTCTCTGATAGATTCGAGAAGATCCATCCTCCGCAAGCTCCGTTTGACACGGCGGAATATCTACAGTTCTCCAAGTCAATGTTATCTAACCTGGTCGGTGGCATTGGTTACTTCCATGGTACAGATATTGTTGATCGATCGGAGGCGCCTGAGTATGATGAGGAAAATGAGGGATTCTGGGAAGAGACTGCAGAAGCCAGAAGTCGGGCTCGTCCTGTTCTCGAAGGACCCAAGACCCTCTTTACCTGCGTTCCTTCCCGTCCTTTCTTCCCTAGAGGTTTCCTTTGGGACGAAGGTTTCCACTTGATCCCTGTTGTTGATTGGGACATGGATCTAGCGTAGGTTTTCACGAATCTCGATCGCCTCGGCTCCACATTCCAGATCGACATTGCTAACATTGTGTAGGCTCGAAATCGTCAAGAGTTGGTTCAACCTCATGGATGAGGATGGCTGGATTGCTCGGGAGCAGATTCTCGGCTCGGAAGCTCGCAGCAAAGTCCCACCCGAGTTCACCATTCAGTATCCTCATTATGCCAACCCTCCCACTCTCTTCGTCATTCTGGAAGCTTTCGTCGATAAGCTCGATGCTAAGAAGAATGCTTCTGTCAACCGGCCGTCTGACTATGAAATCACCGAGGGCCTCAACTCGGCTTTCGTTGAGACTCCAGAGTTGGGCGACGCTTATATGCGCTCGATCTACCCTCTGCTTAAGAAGCACTACTTCTGGTACAGGAAGACTCAATTTGGAGACATTAAGTCCTATGACCGGGAAGCATTTTCAACCAAGGAAGCATACCGCTGGCGAGGAAGGTCTGTTCAGCACATTTTGACCTCGGGCTTGGATGACTACCCTCGGCCTCAGCCTCCCCACCCCGGCGAGCTGCATGTCGATTTGATCAGTTGGATGGGTATGATGACCCGTGCCATTCGTCGTATCGCCGAGGCACTTGGAAATGAAGAGGATGCCGAACAGTTCAAGAACTACGAGATCGCTATCACGCGGAACATCGACGATCTGCACTGGGACGATGACGCGCAGACCTACTGCGATGCCACCATTGATGAATATGAGGAGAGCGTTCATGTGTGCCACAAGGGCTACATCTCGATCTTTCCCTTCTTGACTGGAATGCTGGGCACTGACAGCTCTCACCTGAAGGCCGTTTTGGATCTGATTGGGAACCCAGAAGAACTCTGGAGCGATTATGGCATCCGTAGTTTGAGCAAGAAGGATGAGTTCTATGGCACTGACGAGAATTATTGGAGAAGTCCCATCTGGGTCAACATCAATTACCTCGTGGTCAAGAACCTCTACGTAAGTCAATATCGCCCGATTGAACTGACACAAGAAGCTGATCGTTTTCGCGCAGGATGTTGCAATCAAACCCGGTCCCCACAGCGAGCAAGCCCGTGAGCTGTATTCCAATCTGCGGAAGAATTTGGTTGAGAATGTCTTTAGACAGTGGAAGGCAACTGGCTTTGCTTGGGAGCAGTACAACCCTGAGACCGGACAAGGGCAGCGGACACAGCACTTCACCGGCTGGACAAGCATGGTTGTGAAGATCATGTCCATGCCCGATTTGCCCGCCAACGGAGCAAAGGGCCACGATGAATTGTAGACGTAGACCGATGAGGATATCTTGATGTGATATACAATAAGATAGCAAGCTTTCCAAACAGCTGTACAGTGTTACTTATTCCAAAACTCCTGACTCCTGGTATGCGAGTAGACTGCATGCTCAATGGCGGCGACGGTCAGAGAAATCCCTGTCTCTTGGGTCTGCGCGAGGACGATCGTCTCGACGTTTCCTGTAATCGTCGCGGGCCCTCTCTTTACTTCGCGAGCGCGATCGTCTTCTTCTATGATCGCGATCCCGCGACCTGGATCGCGACCTGTGTCGGTGACTGCGAGGATGACGGTCATCCTCATCACGATGTCTGCGGTGCCTACGCTCCCGGTCTCTGTCCCTGTTCCTCTCCCTGTCCGATGCTCGATCCCGCCTCCGCTCTCTGTCAGGACTGCGGCTATGTCCGCCTCTCCGTCTCCGACTGGAGCGCGGCTCAGCATCCCCTCGAGATGAACCGTAACCGAGTCCCTTGCCAGCCTCGTCACCCCCCTCTTTATCCGCAGCTTCGGACGGGCCACCGAGTGGGGTCAAGTTGGCATTCTCCGACGCCTTAGCGGGAACAGGCAGTCCCAAAGCTCGCGCCATCGCCTCTTCCTCAGCCTCTTTGACCCGTTGTTTCTCCTCGCGGTCCCTCCTTGCTTGATCCTCATCGTCCGCGTCGCCTTTAGCATACCATGTCAGATCCTTGCCCTGCTGCCAACGACCGACAGGAGCCATGAGAGAATGTCCCAGGTAGTTTTCGCGATGCGAGGAGTCTTTGACATCGGACCATTTGAAGTCGCCGCGGCCGCCGCTAGGAGGATGGAACTGTCAGTGCTGTGTTCTGCGGTCATGTTCGGACACGAGGGTCGGGTGCAGAGGGTGCTAAGGGGGTAGGAAGTGTAAGAGAACTCACCGGCTGCCTTCCTTGCGAACACCTGCGACCAGATCCATTCTGGCGGTATCTTGGTTGCAGTAGAGAACTCTTGCCTCCTGATGAGAGAGGTGGTAGCTGTACAGTACAGTAACGTATGAGGGAATGAGTTGCGGGCAGGGAAAAGCGGCGGGAGATCGCTGGGTGGCCCGTGCACGCGCTCAGCCCCGAGGCGGCGAATCATCGGATTGGGTTGGCTGACCTCATAAGGTAATGGATTGGACTGGTAACATGGATGAGAATTGCCAAAATGCGAAAACCACTTTAGCTCAAAGCGATGCATGTAAGTTATCAAGTTATCTATCTAGTCAGCTCAAAGAGAGGTTCTTTTACTTCCTGTCGTGTCTTGCAGATCCCCCCCTCTTCCTCCCCCGAGTATGCTCAAACCTCATTACACGGAGTCGCAAGAGCGCAAAGCATCTCTCCTCCGTGTGATGTCACCGGAGACTCAATCCAAATACCCCTCGGCTTCTTTTGCTGGTATTGACAGTTTCTGTCCGCACTTATCACAATCATCTTGCCCCGATCCCTTCAGCCGCTCTTGATCTGCCACGCGAATGGTGGCACACCCGGAGACTCGCTTTGACGCTTACTGAGTGTCGGTTTTCAGCGGTCTCAAGTGTCACCACAATCTGTGTGTTTTCTCACCAGAATGGCGTTCAGTAGCGGTGATATCGGCAACAAACCACTCAAGGCCCGTCCACGCGAAGGTCTGCAGCTTAGACCCTTGAATGTTGAGAAAGGAACAGATAGAGTATGTGGTCATTCCTAGTCTCCTAGCTAGCGTCGCTGTGTTTTTTTTTTTTCGTTCAGTTGTTGTCGATCTGACTGCTGACCCACTTTCCAGTATTCTTCGTATGTATCTGACCTTCAGATCCCACCATCATGGTATGACTGAGCCGAGACTGAACTGGTTTGCAGTGCGAATGATATCTATCCCCCACAGACAGCGACATGGAGAAACAATCTGGTAAATCATCGATCCTATTCCATCGTCTTATGGGTCACTAACACTCGTGGAAAGATTGCGCTGTCGCAGCGTCGCAATCTGCTCTTCGTCGCCTACAACCATCAAATCTACGTCTGGCAACCCGCAGGGTCTAATCAGACGCTCGGTAACACGCCTGAGATGATCATCACCCCAGTCATGCGAGAGCCCGATGCTGAGGGTTATATCCTACCGTCATCTCCTCATGCCATCAACAATATCCTCGTCGATGACTTGGGCCGTGAGGAGGTGTTGTTACTTGTCACTGACTCGGGCAACGTCTGCGGTTATCGGGTTGAGGCTGTGTACTCAGCGCTGAAGCGAGCGGAGGAGGGCAACGAGAGTCGGCCCCTCGATGGTTCACAGGTCGACCCGTTCTTCGCCGAATATGTTGAAGCCAGCGCCTGGGGCTTGGCCATTCATAAATTCGCCCGCCTCATCGCTGTGACCGCGAACACAGGCCAGGTCACGGTTTTCGCCTTCGCTCTGGTCGATTCTACCTCGGACAAGAGTAGCGAGTCTGAGTGCGATCCGGAGGAAGAGGATGATCTTGCCGACTACGGTCAAACCTGGCTGCAAATCAGAAGCGGGGAGCAGTTGGCCCAGCTGCGGCAGTTGATGCCGCACAAACATCGAACGCGGAATATCCGGTTGACATACACAGGTCATTTTGCCAATATCCCTTCGGTTGGCTTCTTGAACTGTGATCTCGACCCCAATGGGATGTGGATGGTCAGCACGGATATCGACAACAAGCTTCTCGTGTGGAAAATCTGGGAAAGTCTCGGTCCCTTCAACGTCTACCACTTCAACGACGTCTCGTTCAAGTCGTTTCCGGAATCCTTGCATCTAGAGTAGGTAAATGATCTACATGCTGCATTAGGGCTCTCGTTGACTAATGGGTGAAACAGAGAGCGTGGTTGGGCGGTACTCGCTTTGGACCCTCGGAGCTTTCATTTGCTGAAGTCTCCGGAAGAAGCATGCGGCGGCCCCCCTCAACGGCGCGTCAAAAATGGCCAAGCAGTATACGACCTGACACGAATGAATAGCAAAATCCCAAAGGCTTCTCAGATATACAATTATTTTCCGCCTGCGCCCAAGATTGAACCGGAACAGCCGCTGCTGCCCGATATATTCGGACCAGACTGTCGTATCAACAGATCTCATGATGCCTATCAAAATCTCATCACCGATAGCTCACAAGGAACCCCGCGTTGGAAGCAAAGCGAAGACTCGATTGCAGAGCTCCGACGACTGAATATTCCGTCCGTAGCTGTTCGACCCTTAGACTCGGCTGATGCGTCCAGCTACCGCGCCGTAGACGGCTCTGTCTTTGAGGACAATCTGAGCCAGGACAGCTTATCTGACGCGGAGATGAGTACGGAACCCCTTGACACCCAAGATCAACAGAATGACGGCACGCCTTTCCCTCGCGGTCAGGCGCCGCTGACGACGCCGGAATTTCTCCAATTCGCGCTTCTCGAAGCACTCGGCGGTGATGCTCCCGGAGCCGAGTATAGTGACGATGACATGGAGGACTACTCCGAATCCGAAGATGACTGGCACGGCGAGCGGTATTACACTGGTCTGGATGATGCCCAGTCAGACGAAGCGTCTGCGATGGCAGCCCGATACCAAGTCTTTGACCGTACGTCTGACCCTGCTCTAGTCCCCAACCGAGATACAGTCGCTAAGACTTGCGCAGCGCCCATGAGCTCCAATTTCCCAATCCTCCATTTTTCCCAAACCGACATTCGCCTAATCCCCCACCCCTTCGCCACTCACGCGAAGGTCGTGTGCGGCGAACCTCTACGGCAACCCTTCACACACCCGATTGTCTCCATCCGGTCCTGCGATCGCTTTAACATGGTCAAGTATATTCCCGAGCACGGAATCGTCATCGCGGCGTCTCAAAAGGGGCGTGCGGCCATCATAGCCCTCACCGAGTCCGAGGCGACAGGACAATCCTTCCGCGTCGATTGGATTGTCCCCTTTGAGCATCAAGAGAAGTATGGCGACCGTCCTCTGATACCCCTCTTGGGCATGACCGTTGGTCCGGTGCAGGGATTCGAGATGCCTCCGGACGTGCCTTATATTCCACGTGACGTGAGGAACAACGACCTCACGTTTCGATATAAGCATTCAAACCTCAGCATGAGCCCTCATGAGCAGCCGGATCCTGCTTTGGTCACGGAGAGACGAGCGAGTAGCACATCGCAGCCTCCCAGACGCAATTCCACACTCCGCCCGAGACCTTCTCACCATCGCCAACTGAGGAGAAAATGGTCTGCTGTTCACGGGCACGATTCGCATCATTCTACCGCGTCCGCCCTCACTGCGTCTGAAGATCCCACGTCAACCTCTACTTCCACAATACCCCAGGCCTCAATCTCACCTACCTCCTCCACGACTACTCAACGACCATCCAGATCATCGTCCAGCACCCCCTTTACCCTTCCCGAATGCCACGCCCTTGCTACTCGCGCCTACTACCCCGAAGAAAGCTGGCGAGGATGGAACCCCTCTCGACGGTACCGGTTAATGCTCATGTACGCCGACCACACGCTGATGAGCTACGAGTTCTGGTACAGCTGGAGCACGGCGGGAGAAAGTAGTGGGACGGGGGAGGATGAAGCGGACGAGGTATTGTTTGTGTAGGTTTAGTTTTCTGCAGTACATTGTTCCAACCTGTCTGAATATGTGAAGAATGAGGAAAATGAATGAAATGATTTCACACCGGGCTTCTTTTAAGCTTCAAATACCAACTCAACCAGGCGAGGCCTTGAGTAAGGGGCCCTTTCACCGATCTCACGAGGAGACCTGTGGGTGGGAACTAGATGGCGTAGATGGAGCTGGAAGCTCATTTGGAAGTCAGAAAGAGGAGCATAACACAGACATGATGAAGCAACTAGTATGATCTCAGTGAAGACACTCTCTCCGTTACCCAATCTGACCCAACTAACATACTGCAGTGAACCTAACTGAAAACAGAAAGCCTGCCACAAACAACAAAGACCACAAGCCCCTCCCTCCCGAGCAAGTGCATCTCCTCAGCACTGAGCTGTACACACCAGCAATCGGCGACAAACCAAGCTCCCACGAACCGAACCGAACCAACCAAAGTCACCAAGAAACCCCCCGTCAGTCAGCCACTGCCGCGGCGGTCTCCCTAAGCTCCCCAAACCGCCGCACAATCCCCTCATGCGCCTCCCTCCTCTCCTCCCCGGCCTCCTCCTCCTCCATCCACTCCTCCCCCGGCCCCAGCCCCAGCCCGGGATACACCCACCCCCCCAAGAACGCCCTACACCGATCCAGCAACGCCATCCGCCCCCGCGCCGGCAACCCAGACATCACCATCAAGTCGGCGTGGACATCAAAAACCTCCGCCACGCGCGCGTCCAGCGGTATCCGCCCCCACACATTCTGATACCGGTAGCCGTAGAGGTGGTGGAACCTGCGACGCCAGCGGCGGGCGCGCGGCGGGTCCTCGACCTGGCGGGCGGCGATCAGCCACAGGTCGAGCTCGATGCTGCCTCCGGCGCCTGCTGCTGGCGCGGCGTCGTCGGCGAGCCCGTCCAGGACCTGGATCCGGGTTAGGAGTGGCTGGAGCGGGTCCGCTAGGGTCTCGAGGTGGTTGGCGTGCTGGGCGAGGGTGGTGAGCGCGTGGTCGGTGGTTTGGGCGAGGTGGTCGACGGCTTGTTCGAGGGCTTGCATGCGCTGGCTCTGCTGTGTGAGGGTGCGCTGCAGGGCGCGGATGTTCGTGCGCTGCCGCTGCATTTTTTGCGGTGGTATGGGTTGGGTATGGGTTGGGTATGGGTATGGGGGTTTGGAAGGGTTGAGGCT